TGAGCTGAATTGTGTCACCCTACCTCCCAAATTCATGTTTTGAGGTCCTAACCCCCAATACCTCAGAATGTGACCTTATTTGGAAATAAGGTTGTTGCAGATGTAATTAGTTAAGATGAGGTCATACTGGAGTAGGATGGGTCCTCTAATCCATTATGATTGGTATCCTTGTAAAAAGGGGAAATTTGGACACAGACACACACTCAGGGAGAATGCCTCATGAAGACTGGAGTGATGCTGCCACAAGCCACGGAAATACCAAACCTAGGAGATAGCCTGGAATGGATCCTTCCCTACACCTTCAGAGGGAGCATGGCCCTGCAGGCACCTTGATCCTGGACTTCAACATTCCAGAATGGTGAGACAAGAAATTTCTGTTAAGCCACTCAGTTTGTGGTACTTTGTTACAGCAACTCAAGTGAACGAATACACCTCTGTTTGCTCTTTAGCATTCTGGACTCCTATGGTTCCTCAAACAGGCCAGATGCAGTTCCTCCTCAGGGGTTCTGCATTGCAAGTTCAGGCCGCCTGGTGTCTTTGCACAAGTATTTGCACGGCCCACTCCCTTGCTGCTCTCTGCTCAAATGCCACTTGGTCTGGGGGTCTTCTCTGGGCCCTCTATTAAAAACAGCACCCGGGCTGGGCACGGTGGCTCACACCTGTAATCCCAGCACTTTGGGAGGCCAAGGTGGGTGGATCATGAGGTCAAGAGGTCGAGACCATCCTGGCCAACATGGTGAAACCCTGTCTCTACTAAAAATATAAAAATTAGCTGGGCATGGTGGCGGATGCCTGTAGTCTGAGCTACTCGGGAGGCTGAGGCATGAGGATTGCTTGAACCTGGGAGGCGGAGGTTGCAGTGAGCCAAGATCGCACCACTGCACTCCAGCCTGGCAACAGAGCGAGACTCCGTCTCCAAACAAACAAAAAACAAAAACAGCACTCCTGCTCTTTCATGCTCTATCCCTTTACCCTGTATTTTTTTTTTCTGTAGCACTTAACATATTTAAAGTACTTTAATAAAATTTACTGTCATCCCTCACCAATCCCTTACCCCAAATATAAGCTCCATGAAGGTCAAGAATTTCTTTAATTTGTTCACTGGTATATGCTGAGTCTAGAGTAATAGGCACTCAATAAATATTTGCTGAATGAATGAATAAAATATATAAGCAAAGGTCAGGTGCAGTGGCTCACGTCTGTATCCCAGCACTTTGGAAAGCAGAGGCAGGTGGATCACCTGAGGTCAGGAGTTCAAGACCAGCCTGACCAATATGGTGAAACCCCATCTCTCCCAAAAATACAAAACTTAGCTGGGCATGGTGGTGTGCACCTGTAATCCCAGCTACTTGGGAGGCTGAGGCAGGAGAATCATTTGAACCTGAGAGGTGGATGTTGCAGTGAGTTGAGATCATCCCATTGTACTCCAGCCTGTGTAACAGAGTGAGAGTCCATCTCAAAAAAAAAAAAATATATATATATACACACACACACACACATATACACACACATACATATATACACACACATATATATATACATATATATACACACATATACATACATACACACACACATATATATGTGAAAATTTAAATCCTGAAGCTTGGAACTAGGGTAACTGTGAAGGCATGCTAACCAATACATTCCTTTTTAAAATGTGATATTCCTAGTTACCACTGGGTCCTAGAGAAAGAGAGTATGGTTCTGGACTTCAGAGAACTTAAAATGTTAATAAACACACATCACTAGTGAAAATTGTATGACTGGCTGATATTTCACTTTCATTAAGACTTTAGATTCTCTAAAATAATTAAAACTACTTTTGATAAAGCTAATACTTCCTACCCACTGAGTATTTAATTAGCTGTGTTAGAAAAGAAATTTGAAGATATACTATGCTCTACAAGAATTACAGGGAAAGCATCTTACACGCAGGGGAGGAAATTCCTAAAGTGGACAAATAAATAGTCAAATTTAAATTAAAAGAAAAGTATGCCAAGTGACAACTGCTCCATTATCGGCCTCCTCGAAATTGCCATGTTGAACACCACCAGGACCAGCTACTCCAGCTGCTTGAAGTCATTGTAGACCATGACCAGGGAGACCATGGCTTCCACACAGAAGCTAAGCAGACTAATGGCAGGACACCCATGCAATTTTTGTCCAGGCCCACACTGACTGTCATTGCACGGATGTGACTTCCCATGTGATTCCTATTGTTTGGTAGCAGCCCCTTTGCCACCTGATATTTATATATTTTTACCATTGCCTTTAGGAATCTGTTTGTCCAACTGAAAAAGGGATCATGTCACCAGTTCACTTAAGGTGTTAAATGTATTTGTAAATGATGAAAGAGCCACGTTATAGAATATTTTGAAAATAAAGAAAAATATTACCCAACTGTTACCATTTTGGTAATGTTTTCTGTGTTCACATAGTTGTAATTGAACTATGGCTATGCTTCTTATACCCTGGGTTTTCATTCCTATTATACTCATTTTTACCTTACTGCCTCATCCTAAAATGAATAATACTGCTTCATAATGGTGTTTTAGTGGTTGCCTCATATTCAGTTAAGTGGATGAACCATAATTGACAACCATTTTCCTATTGTGAGACCTTTAGTCACAACAGCTCTGCCCCTGCCCCCAGCTTTCTGCTATTTGAAACTGCAATTACTATCTTCAGATTTTTAAAGTATTTTCCATAGTTTGCATAATTGTTTACTATAAATGTCTGAAAGTGGGATCCATGGCGGGAAGGAAAGGGTTAATTGAGCAGCTCTAGGCCACTTAAACCACGCACATTACCAAGGAAGCGGGGTTTTCACGACTGGCCCTTGGCTGGCTCCTCGGAACTGAGCCCTTGCAATATTCTGACTGATAAGAGCGTTTTGCATGCTGGGAGGTGTTCAGCCACACTGTACTCCATTTAGTTTATCCATTTAGTTCATCCTAACAATGTGATTTACAGTGAACACCTGCGTTCCCTCTGTGGGGTGGAGCTTCAGTAACTGAGGTCAGCCATACAGGCACTGTATGCATATGTGACTGGCCATCAACAAAAATCTCTGGGCCACCAGTCTCAGGTGAGGTGTGGTTGCGTGTGTTATCACACATCCTTGCTGGAGGAATTAAGTACATCCTCTGGGACCTCACGGAGACTCTACTGAGACAGGAGTCTCAGAAACTTGTGCCTGGAAGTTTCCTCCAGACTTTGCTCCGTGCACAATCACACGTGAGTCCATTTAGTAAATCGTCAAGCTTGGAGACCCTTGACACCCCTGGCTATACTGATTGGCATTCAGTTGTAGATAATGAAAACTATTCTAGCTGATTAAAGCAAAAAGTGTTTATTATCATGTATTCTATGATTTCCAAAATTGTTGAAAATTGTTTACTATCATGTATTCTGTGGTTTCCAAAGATGTTGGAATTGCTAAAAAAGTAGATACAGCTTCCAGGAACCATTTCTAGCACCAGCATTTCACTGCTTCTGCCAGAATTAGAAAGCCACCAAACTAATAAGCTACTTGCTATAAAAATCATACTGCCTTAGCTAGGATCCATGTCAGCAAAACGCGTGCCTTACATCTTACCTTGCTGCCCTCTTAACTCAGTTCTGAATCTGGGCATCTGAATGACAGCCATATCTGACACTGTAGCTGCAGGGGCATCTGGAAATGGAGCATTTTGCATTTACAGTGCTCAAAGATACAAGCAGGAAATTCGAATTTATGCTGAGTGAGCTAATCCACAGTATCAAACACATTGCATTCAAGGGTATGAATATTTTAACGTTTCTTGGTAGACACTGCCAAATTGCTTTTCCAGAAGGTTGGAAAAATTCACAATGGCAATAGCAATGAATAACGTTCCATTTTGCCAACACTTTATAGTTTCCTAATGAGGGAAAGATAATCTCAGTAGACAAAAACAAGCACTAAGTCATAAGGCACTGTGTGTGCCCACTCTTTTTCTCGCTCTGTTTTCTTTGAAGAAACAGATTTCTTAAGATTGTGGTTAGGAGTAATCCCTTGCTTGAAAGCTGGGAATTATAAGTCGATCTACAAATCAACTGTTCTATGATGGTGACTTAAAAACAAACAAACAAAATCAAAGCAAGGCACTCATCTATGCAATGCTGGGCTAAGCAATTTTGGTTATTGTTGAAAAGTACTGAATAAAGTAAGGGGAAGGCTAATTTTACTTTTATAAGTCTAATTTATAATTTTCTGTTCCCACAGTGAATTGTCAGGTTCCTCATCTTGGTCTTCCTCCAAGCCCTGCATCTCTTCAATCGGTCCTACATAATTATCACTGGTTGCCTCAGAAATAGGGATTTGGGCTTGGGGTCACAGCTGCTTTGATCTTTGAGGTTGAGATTTCTGCTTGAGAATTTTAGCTGTTGAAAGATGTAACATCTCATCCAGACGTCCAGGAAAATAATAACTGTGATGGAGATGTTTATATACACAAGGGATGGCATCAATAATAATGACATAAACTTCCTAATTCCTCAAAGATACTTACAACTTCACAATTACTGGGTCACGGAACACTTCGTCAATTGGTTAAACAGCGATAGAAAATAAATACAGGGTATTTATGATACACTGTCACAATGAGATCCTATTCTACATATTACATGTGTATGCAGAGAAGAACATTGCAAAGGAAGAATGCTAAATGCTTATAGCAGTTATCACTGGGGGTGAGACAGTGAGTGGCTTTTACTTTATTCCTTATATATTCTGGATTGTTTGAAAATTCTAAAATGAGCATATCTTACTTTAATAAAGATTTTAAAAGGTGAGAAAAAATCATTAAAAAAGTATTTCCCAATACCTTAAAGGGTTGTAGTAGATTTAAATTACATAATTGGTAAGAATGTGTTTTTGTAGATTATGTACTATTATGAAAATACAATGTAGTAAATTTTCCTAAGTCCATGATCTCCCCTCCTTACTTAGAATTAATGGGTCTGAAGCCTTTAGGTATGTTTAGTTTAAGAATTTTATTTTAAAGGAATTTCTGTGGCATAACATAATGTTTATGGTACTTTTACTGAAAGTCACTTATAATGATCAACTTATAACAATTTTTGCAATAAGCTCTCATTAAATTTTCCTAAAAGTAGAAAAAGTACACATTATATACCATTTTGAACTTAATTATTTCTTTAAAATCTCAAAATAATTCAGTGTAAAATGTTAGTTTCAAAGACAATTTATGGGAAATTATAAAGCAACTATAAAGTTCTTTATAATAAATCCAAGATAAAAGTAATTTTTTACAGGTTGAAAATTTTTCAAAATGCTTCAGTGGATTATAAATACATTTTGGCCATCTGATGAATTTAGAGGCACTTTAAAAGGTGTCTAGTTGAACTACTACAGATAGGACATGTTTGAGGAAATTTAATTTAATCTGTAAGTCTAATAATACCAGTGTTCATTTCTTCCTGCCAAAACAAGAAATTTATTGGAAAAATCCATGAGCAGCATGATTAGTTTGATTTCTTTCTTTCTCTTTTTTAAGAGACAGGGTCTTGTTCTGCCACGCAGGCCACAGTGCAGTGGTGTGATCGTAGCTTACTGCAGCCTTGAATTCCTGGGCTCAAGTGATCCTCCCTCCTCAGCCTCCCAAAGTGCTGGGATTATAGGTGTGAGCCACCATGCCCAACCTAGTTTAATTTCTTCATAAAGATTCTTTTATAAGTTGTGCTAATACCTGGAAGGCCTAAAACAGAAAAAAATATTAGAATTAATTAAATTAGGATACTACATTGGAAAACTCTGTAATAACTTTAAAAATCCAAACAAAGAGTATCTGTCTAAGGTTGAGAGAAGGCATTGGAAAGTCAAGTTGAACATCAACTTTATCCATGCAGGATGCCATCAATGTCTATTAAAATATGAAGACTGAAGTACATCAGATTTCCAGGATTTTTTGTTGTTGTTGTTTTACTTGTGGCCTTCAAGATCATTTTCCATTTTATCCATAACATGAATTATTTTAGATTTTATATAACCTCTCACCTGCATTTTATATAGATTCAATTGCCCAACTCCACTAATAAATTAAAACAGAGAGAACTTATGAAAAACACATTTAATGACATGAGAATGCAAGTAAATAAAGAACATGCCAAAAATGTCCCTTTCCAAGGATAAATATAAACTCTTCTCAAGGTTAATGGCACTGTTCAATTTATAGCTCTTCTGTTTTATTTCCACATACACAGCTTATGTTGGTTAAAGCTAGATTGCGATTAAGAAAATTATTCTATTTGACCCTTGCTGATACTTTTTTCTTCAGAGAAAGAGACTGACAGCCATCATGAATTTGTACTTCTGGCTCGTATTAATTCATTAAAGGAAGGAAAGAAGTTTTCCTCATAACATGACAATTTACCCAGCTCAGTAGGTTGTGATACATTATTCATGCAGACAATAAATTTTAACTCCAATTTAGTCTCATTTCTATAGAAGTCTAGCAACAAAGTAAAATGGGTCTTTGAATGATAGTTCATGACTGGTCAACAAATACCTGAATTTTAGAAACCCAAACAGATATTAAGTAATATTCTAATTCACAAAGTATACACATGCATTAAAAAAATAGAACTGCTAGCTAGTATTACTCTGAAGAGAATACTACACTCACCATATCCATCTGTTCTGGAGAAGCTGAAGAGAAGGATGCTCTCAAGTAAGGGCTAGGAGCTGAGCTATCGATGTAGAAAGCATTTCCAGGGAGCATTAATACCTAAGAGAGTTTGTGGAAGATAGGTAATGTACCACTAAAGAAAAACTCAAAGATAATATAGTTCAGCCTAATCTCAGAGTAGGGAAGGATGTTTTAAATTTAAAAGCAGTTAAAGAAATCACAAGAAAAAATACTAATTTATATAAGAATTGTGTATGTCATACAATGAACAAAACTAAACACATAGAAACTGAAAAAATGTTCAGAATAAATATGGCAAATGCTATCTCTTCTCAAACTGTCAGGAATATAGAAAAACTGAGAACACTCAAATTCTAGCTTTAATGTAGAAAGGACAGTTTACTAAAGAAAGATAAATGGTAACAAATACAAACAAATGTTGAACTAGAAAGTAATTTTTAAGTAATTAAGTTTGAAAGTTACTTTTAAGCTGGGGCCTGAAACACAAATTAGGTCAGACAAAAAGCAGGGAGCAGTATTTGAGGGCAAAGGTACACAGAGTAAAGGCCCTGAGATGGGAGGAAAATTGGTGCAAAGAACTGAAAGGAGGTAAAAGATGTAATGTATCAAATGAAGGAATAAAAGTATTAAGTAAGCATGTCAAGATGGGGTGGTCGGAACAGCTGCTGTTCTTGGTGGCCACACAGGCAGACAGCTCACTGATGGTAAGCTCCATTTCCTCTTCTTCCTGGGCATCACATGTACCCTATTCCCCAGCCTCTTTCTAGCTGTGTGTGACCATGAGAGCGAATCCTAACCAATGGATGTGAGCAGAAGCCAGGTAAGCGACATCTAAGGCTGGCCCATACAAATAATCCCACGTGTGATCTGCCACGCTCTTTCCATTTTGTGGCCATCTTGGAATCCGTGTATTGAAGAATGAAAGGCAACGAGATGTAAGAAACACGGGTCTCTGAATCACTGTTGGAACACAGCAGGCTGCAGGTCACATCTTAGAATTATATGCGAGTCAGAGATAAACTTCTATTGCTTATTAAGTCTTTGATATTTTCAAGTTTATCTTCTACGATAATTAGGGTTGACTAGTATAATCATGATCTTCAAAAGCACTGAGTAACTGCTTGTTACACTGTCTGCTAAAACAAGAGGAATTGGGAGTGACATGATCTGGAGTACTCTGGGGAAAAGATTTCAAGGCAGAAGATGGGTTTCTCTGTCCTGGTTAAAAATAAAATGAAAGCCATCATTTCTCCCAGTAGCATGGATGAGTTTTGGGATGTACTAGAAGCAAGGAGCTGAAAGAAAAGGGAGTGGTAATAATCTCTTTGCAAGATAACCAACATCTGGGCTAATGAAGTGGGGATAAAGCTGGAGATTATTTAGTAAACGTAAAAAAAGAACATGTAGCAGGATATATGGAGTAAATGAAGAGGACTGAAGAAGAGTATAGTAAAAACAAAGTCTATATCCTTGGCACCTCACTCAGACATACCTATAGATAAGCACTTACCACATATTTTGAGGATGATGGCATTGACAGAAAAGAAAAGAATGTATCAAATTGATTTATTATACTACAATGTATTATTTGAAATAAGTCAATTAAGTGTTTATCAAGTACCTACTATGTGCTGTGATTAGGGTTAGAACCATTAATAAAGTTTGAGTCCTGCCCTCAAATAAGATGGTTAAGAGAGGATAATAGCTTTACCCAGGCGGTGGAGGTAGGACTGAAGTCCAGGCAGTCTGTCTCTAGATCTAACTTCTAGAGCACCTTGTCTCTTAGGCACTAGCATGGCACTTTGCCATCATCAGTCCAATCTGTCCTTTAGTTCTTATGATTCAAGACAAAACTGACTCTAGCAGTAGGTTTCAGTGTGTGTAAAAGACTGACAAATATGCTAATGGCTTTAATTAATGGAGAAGGAATAATTTATCTGGTAAACTGGAAAGCTACACAGAAGAATGTTTAGAATTTTCAGCTTACTTGATGCCCCAAATGAAACCTAAGTAGACTTATAATTTAAATATAAAAAGAGGGGAAAAAAAAGAAACCTAGAATACATTCTACGAGCTAATTTTAAGTGAAAAAAAAAATCAGGATACAAACTTTTCCGTATAATTTTAACCATGTAACATAAGTGCACAGCCAAAATACTAAAAGAACAAGCGTTTCAAGAAACTATACTATAAATGGTCACAAAATCTGGGTGGTAAAATCATGGGCTATTTAAAAAATTTTCATTATACTTTTATACATTTTCCAAATATCCTACCATGAGTATACTTTATCTTCATCATCAGAAAAAAATCCCTTCATTTTAAATATCAGTGGCTCTTACTGAGCACTGAGTATGTGCCACATACTAGTCTAAGGGCTTTACACATATTAACTCACTTAATCATCAGAGCAACCCTATGAGAGAGGGATTCTTACTACCTCTGTTTTACAGACAAAGCACAGAAAGGATAACCTATTCAAGGCCACACATCCCCTAAAGGGTGGTGCTGGGACTCAAACCCAACAAGTGCGACTCCAGAGACCACACTCAGCTACTATGCTAATCAGTAGCTGAGATGAACAACTGTATTTCCACTAATTTAGACCAGCTGGATAATTATGTAACCCAAAAACCTCTTACGATTTTGATAATGCAATAAAATATCTAACATTAGAACATTATGAGTTGGCTGGTGGGCAACAAGAAGCATCTCTTTCTATTTCTATTCAAGTAAAATATTAAAGAAAAAGTGTAACTTTTCTTTAGGTTTCCCAGCCCTTCGCCTCCCAGTTTTACCCCCATCTTAACGGCTTTTTCTTCAATCAGTTCTTTTACATCATTAATGCCTTTAACTTTAATCCATAAAAACATTCCAGCAGCAGGAACATGCCATTCTGCCAAACCTACAAACAAAAGAAGAGAATAAATGTCTTCTAAAGTAAAGCATCTTGGATGATATCAAAGTGTGTTGTTAAATGGCATAAATGTAGTAAGTAGAAACTAGTATTCCTAAAAAAGGTCCTTCAATTATAGCATTTTAAAAAATAACATTTTGTGAGCCTTGAAAATTGATGTTCTGGATTTTATTTCAACGAGTTACTACGGGTGAGGGAGGAAGGGAGAGGTAAGGTGGGCAAGTGATAGCTCACGTGTGCATATTTACAACGCAGTCAGTCAGGGTAGTGCAAGAAATCCCACTCACCTCTCCTTCACTTAGAACCATACTTAGACAAACATGGCTATTTCAATTTAGAAGAGGATTCTTCCATTATTTGTGGATTCTTCCAGCATTACAACAAATTCTATTATTCTTGTAACAGTTTAGATGTCCAGTGGATTAGCGTTTTTATCAGAATGTAATTAATTATGAAAAGAAATACTTAAAATTCAAGAATTCCAGAAGCAGTTGTGGGCTTTATGTTTCATTGAGTATTAGGATACAGAAATCAAAAAAAAGCCTAATGATTTTTGATTTACATTACTATCTTTTTTAAAAAAGAACTTGCTGTTGATCAAAAGTTTTTCTTCAGTACTATTATGCAAAGTGGTAAAATAGTGCTCGTGTCAAAAAGATACTAATTCTGTTTTTTTTTTTTTTTTGGATGGAGTTTTGCTTCACCCAGGCTGGAGCGCAATGGCATGATCTTGGCTCACTGCCACCTCTGCCTCCCAGGTTCAAGCGATTCTCCTGCCTCAGCCTCCTGAGTGGCTGAGATTACAGGTGACCGCCATCATGCCCAGCTAATTTGTATATTTTTAGCAGAGACAGGGTTTCGCCATGTTGGCCAGGCTGGTCTCGAACTCCTGACCTCAGGTGATTCACCCGCCTTGGCCTCCCAAAGTGCTGGGATTACAGGTGTAAGCCACCACACCCGGCCACTAATTCTGTTTTTACCAAGACTTTATAGAAAATAAGATAGGACAGAAATAAGGAATTGCTATTTTTGGTTTACTATTATTTATATCAAAGGCATTTTAGCAATACAATTAAAGCCATGCGATTAATTTGACCTTCATAATAGAAAAATGAATGTAAAACATCTTGTAATCAAGTTAGCAATAGATAATACTACAGAGAAAAATGAGGTTAATGATTAGAAGGCAAATTATGTGTCAAGGAGACATCTGCCTTTGTACAGTTTAGTTCGAGAAGAAACACGGTTTGACAATTTTACCCTTTGGGGTAAAATTCTGAAATAACTAACATTTTTGAAAATAGGTAATATTAAGCTTTAAGTAAGTTAGAGGTTGATTTTTAGATCTTTTTTTTTTTTTTTTTTAAATCACAAATTCTTTGCAGCAGACAGGTAAAGTAGATAGGAAGGCCTGTGCCCAGGTTTATCAAATGTTGCTTCTAAGATGATTTATGGTGTAATGTTTCCTTAGCAAGAATACTCCTGGACTGTTTCTTTTCCACCAGGATTGTTAGTAATATGCAGTGTTTAGCCCCTACTCTTATACTGTTTATCATGAGGACGGATATATGTTCCACTCACCAGTTAACCACTTGTCTGCAGCTGCCAATATTGCATCCTTCTGGTTACTATAGAAATCAGTAACCCTAGAAGAAGAAAACAATGAAATAGATGTGCTCAGTACATTGATTGCAGAAGCGAAAAAGGCTCCAGAGTCCAGGCTATAAGAATTTGTTTTCTATCTTGATTAAAATGTTGAATGCTTGATGGAAGAATGGAGCATATTTGTTTCACGTGTCTGGTGATAAACTTTTAACCGCTGTGTTTTTTCCTTCATTGTAGAATAATTACAAAATAAAAATTCAAAAAGAGAAGTCCATTTCTATGTAAAATATGGAACCTAGAAGTAGCAGGATCAATCTTTGTGTTTAGTTGTCTAAATACTGGTTCTCATCACTCAGGATAAAAGAAAATACTATCGAAATAATGAATCACTGGTCTGGGAATGCGAATACCCAATTCCTCCTTATTTCTAAATGTCCTAGGAGGTACCACATTTACACAGCTAAAGTAATCCATAACTTGTACCAATATACAGACTATTTAGGGAAATTATGTTCACACTCATCTTTACTTGAGCCAAATCCCATGTCATGTATCCTTCACAATTAATCATTATTAAATAAAATATTTCTGTGTATGAATAGTTTACCCATTAAATCATTTAAGTAAGTAAATCCTAACCCTGGTGGGAATTTTGGACTACCTTAGGAGTGGGTGGACACTGCTTTCAAACCACACCTTGGATGCTGAGAAGACTTGCTAGGTGAAGAGCTAATAAAATGAATAGACTTTTGACTTATAGTAGACCATTCCTATTGTCTCTCCTTTCCCAGGATACTTAGGAAGGAAGAATAAATCAATACTGTAGGTGATCTGTATTATGTTCACTGGGCTCCTATTTTGTTCATAAATATTTAAAGAAATGATACAATACCTATCTACATGAGCCATGAAACCCTCTTCTCCCCAATCATGTAGAAGCTGTGATATCATGAGCTAAAAGAGATAAAATCAAAAATACCATGTTTCATCCCCTGAAAATATAATTTTTGCATATATAAAAGCAAACCACTTTTGATTACATGTAAACCATAATAAGATATAACAAGCTGAGCCTAGCTTATATAGTCAGTGATTTAAAACAAATGTCAATTAATAACAATGATAATACTAGTAAAAATAACAAATATTGATACAGTACTTGTTATGTAGCAGGCACTATTGTAAGATACTAATATATTTTACCAAATGTAATCTCCATAAATTTCTGTTTTACTAATGAGGCACAAGGGTTAAGTTAACTTTTCTGAGTCCCCCAGCCTGAATTCAGTCAGGCTATCCAGCTCCTGACCCATGCTGTTAATTGCCATACTATACCGCTTCTCTAAATATAAAAATGTACAGTAGATATGTAAAGTTACATGACATATTTGGAGATTTTCTATTTAAAATAGAAATTATAGGTTGGGCGCAGTGGCTCACACCTGTAACTCCAGCACTTTGGGAGGCCCAGCCGGGGGGATCACCAGAGACCAGGAGTTAGAGACCAGCCTGGCCAACATGGTGAAACTCTGTCTCTACCAAAAATACAAAAATGAGCTGGGCATAGTGATGTGTGCCTGTAATCCCAGCTACTTGGGAGGCTGAGGCAGGAGAATCGCTTGAACCTGGGAGGCAGAGGTTGCAGTGAGCCAAGGTCATGCCACTGTACTCCAGCCTGGGTGACAGAGCAAGACTCTGTCTCAAAAAAAAAAAAAAAAAAAAAGTTTAAAATGTTATAAATTGATAGTGAACTTCTGTTGATAACAGATGCAAAAATATGTGAACTTCTGTTGATAACAGATACAAAAAATATGAAAAAAGTCCCCAACTTGGCAAAACATGGGGCCATCTGCACTTTATGGAACATACATCAAACAAGTGTCCTATTCTACGCAAACTTTTCTGTTCTATTCATTCTTGCAAGGTTGTGTTACAGAGGGATCCAATAATTTCTCAAAGTTTGTAAGGAAATTTACATATTCTCTTAAATTAATTTTACTTTATTTTAATTAAAACGCATTCCAACCAATTTATTTAGGAAAGATTAGCATGTCTGCAAAGAAGGCAAACTATGAGTCACTAAACAGGTTTGGAGTTTCTGTTCTCTACCATCTATTTTTTTAAAAAATTCTGATCTAATTACAAAAAAAAAATCTATTTCCTAAATTGTCCTTACCTGGTTGAAAGTGCTGGGGTGCAATGTTGAAACTTGTATGTGTAAAATAACTCTCTCTATTAAGGGTTTCGGACCAGTTAAAAATCCTATTCTCAACCTATGTCAAAAGAGAAAAGGCACGATACCAATTCCATATTAACAATTATTACATATCACTTTCCTGATTTCATCAGACAGACAATTGTGACCTGGGGACAAAAGGATCTAGATAATTAAAACATTCTAATAAAACTACTTCTTACTTCAAAAATAAATTTAAGTGTATATTTAAAACAAGATTGACCATGTATTTCCAAATGTGCCCTTTCATACCTGATATCAAAAACCTGACTGGTCTCACTACAATGTTAGATAAACAGTCAAGAATCTTTGATTATTGGAGGTGAATAAAGCAAAAAAAAGGCCTATGTTAATATTAATAATGAAACTAATATTTTAAGACAAGCAGACTACAAGCATTTTAAATGAAAAAATTTGTCTAGACTAAAAGATACTGAGGTACTGTCTCTGGCTCTATTAGATCTAGCATCAAGTTAGAGACACAGGGCCTTACCCAGAGGAAATGATTTTTGAAAAAGAGTCAGCTCTGATGACACGTCCATCAACATCCATGGAAAGAAATGTTGGTACCCTGAACTTAAAATGAAAAAAAAAAAAACTGTTGATCTGAAAGCTCTGTTAGTCACTGTATGATTATTCTGAATAGAGAGTAGACAGGAGATGGATTTGGATAACAACAGTACAAATATTCTCTTACCTTTATTTCAACCCTTTAACATGGAATAACAAACAAAGATGCATGTTCTTTTATTAGCATCTGCTTGTCTTCATGGCTTTTCTGCCAAAAACACACACAAGGGCTTATTATTTGCTTCAGATGCCATTATTATGAACTTAGGGAAACTTCAAACAGGCCCTCTTTGCCCCAGAGGTTGAAATCCAGGATTAACAGACTTACAGGAGGGACTCAAGGAACACTAGTTTGAACAAGACTATAATGAAGATGGCCAGCAGCACTCAAGGGTATTCAGAGAGAGAGCTGATCCTTACGATCGGCAGAAGGAAAAATGATGCGAATGAAGATGAGAAATTAGTCAATATGAAAGACTGACTTCAACATTTACTTTAAAAGTAGCTACAAATGAGAAAGGAAATTTGCTGGCATGCCGATGGTGGGAGGCAGGAGGCAAAAGTGATGTTTTAGGAAACCCTGTAGAGAAATAAAGAGCTCTTATCTTTTCCCACTATATTTAAGGGGCAAGCTGAATCCAAGTGTATGTTCTCTGCGGCCCTGAGAGCAAAGAAAGTGTTGGCTTTTGAAGAATCAGGCTTTGGTCTTACTATTATTATCATCTATCAGAAAAAATCATCATGAAAGGTTGCACACGTGTGAGAATCAATCTAAATGCCCATTACTCTGAAGTAAGATCCACGACAGAAATGACAGGGTGGCAAATGTGTGGTGTGCTGCCTGTGATGCCTCCTCTTGTGTCCATGGGAGACACTGCTAACGGAGCACAGCCGTCTTTCTCCTTCAGCTTGAGCATGGCTTCCTAACCCTTCTCATACATCATTCTAATCGGCCACCACCAAGACACAGAAGTCGACAGCCAAAGATGAAACTCAGTTCACATCCCTGGGTGATGTTTGAGGAGCTGTGAACTTGGATGTGGAGTTCAAGGCATCCATCAGCCCTGATCTACTGTTTGCCCCAGTGCCTGGTACAGAAAGCCAGCTACTGTTTTGAAGGAAAGTAATTTCTGGAAAGAGCAGTAATAACAAAAAAGAAAGGTACTAATTCCATAAAAAAACTGGGAGACTGAAAAGTAAAGTAGTAGCAAATTAATCATAATTGATTTACTTTCCATGTAAAAGTGGATTAGTTCTGACTCCGTAGTCAGCCTAATATCCAACACAGTGCAGTAACTTACAACAACTTATCTTCTAATAGTGAAATAAGTTCATATCATCACTTACCTTGTTAAACTGGAGAAAATAGTAAGGATCATCTTCTATTATGAGGAAATCATATTTTCTTGCAAGCTAAAAAAGGTTGAGGTAATTGTTTATTAAGAAATAAAGCAATCTATTTCTTAAAAGCTATTTAAAATTAAATTCACTTGGAATTGTAATTCTTTGTACTCATTCAAAAAACTACTGTGTGTCTATTGTCTTAGACAATGAGGATAAAAAGATGAACAAGGCATTAAAGGCTCTTATTCTCATGGAAGTTAGATTCCAGGGGAAAAGACAGCATATACATAAGCCTGTGGATCATGAGCAGAATAAACATTAGATGAGTGGTTTTATTTAGTTTCTTTTTTGAGATGGAGTCTTGCTCTGTCGCCCAGGCTGGAGTACAGTGGCACGATCTTGGCTCACTGCAACCTCCGCCTCCTGGGCTCAAGCAATTCTCCTGCCTCAGCCTCCCGAGTAGCTGGGATTACAGGCATGCACCACCACACCCAGCTAATTTTTATATTTTTTGCTAGAGATGGGGTTTCACCATGTTGGCCAGGCTAGTCTCGAACTCCTGACCTCAAATGATCCACCTGCCTCAGCCTCCCAAAGTGCTGGGATTACAGGAGTGAGCCACTGTGCCCAGCTAGATGGGTGGCTTTAAAGTGCTGGGCAGCGCATTACAACAGGTGAGGGAAGAGAGCGACAGGGTAGCTATTTCAGGTTCAATCACTGAGAAGGCCTTCCGGACCAGGTAACATCAGAGCTTAAAATGACAGGAAGGAGTCAGCTGTGCAAATATCAGAAGAAGAAGAATCTAGACTGAGGGATGAATGAGGGCAAAGGCGGCAGGATACGCAAAATGCTTGACATGTTTAAGGGCTAAAAAGGACAGTGCGGCTGCCCCAAGTGCAGCAAGAAGAATGATAAGAGAGAAGGCTTGAGAATAGACTGACCATGTTACCCAGCTCTGCAGGGCAGATAAAAGAATTTGGGCTTTATTTTAACTGCAAGGAGAAACCACTGGAGCCTGGAGCCCGGCTTTATACTGACATTTCTGCAGGGATGGATGTGGCTGGCTGCTGTGGGAAGAGTGTGACTGGTTAAGAGCGCAGGGTGAAATGCAGCTGGTGCAGTGAAGGCACTGGAGGAGTCCAGTGAGGGCAGGCAGGGGCTCAGAAGATGGGGACAGTGATGACAACAGAGAAAAATGGATGGACTTGGATAAGCTCAGTGGTACAGTCCACAGGAGGAACTAGATGTGGGGAATGTGGGGCAAAGGAGGGAAAGACAGGAATAAAGGGTAACCATTCATAGTTGCACTCTTTATGGAGATGGAGAATGTGAGAGGCTGGAGATCAGAGGTTTGGGGTAGGGCAGTGGAAAATCAGGAGTTCTATTTTGGGCATGTTAAGTGTGAAACGATTATTAGATATCTCTGTGGAGGTATCAGTAGAAAGTTGGATACAGAAGCCTGGGGCTCAGGGAAGAGGTAGGGGCCAGGCAATGTGGCAGTCATTGTGTATGTAATGGAATAGACAGACACAAAACTGGACAAGGCTGCCTGGGGGGTATGTAAACAAAGAAGAGAACTCAGGACAGAGCCCGGGAAGTACAAACATAAGAACATGACGGTGTATGTGGTGTGTGTACATATATATGTGTGTGTGTATATATATGTGTATATATACATGTGTATATATGTGTATGTATATGTGTGTGTATATATGTGTAAATATATGTGTGTATGTATATAAGTGTATATAGATATACTTACATGTATTATATACATGTATTAGATGTATATATGTGTGTGTGTGTATATATATATTTAGAGTTGGAGTCTTGCTGTGTTGTCCAGGTTGGTCTCAAACTCCTGGGCTGAAGCGATCCTCCCACCTCAGCCTTACAAAGTGCTGGGATTACAGGTGTAAGTCACTGCACCCAATCTGAGACAATATTTTGTACCTAAATTTTCTTTTTCTTTTTTTTTTTGAGACGGAGTCTCGCTGTGTCACCCAGGCTGGAGTGCAGTGGCACGATCTCAGCCCACTGCAAGCTCCCTCCCGGGTTCATGCCATTCTCCTGCCTCAGCCTCCCAAGTAGCTGGGACCACAGGTGCCTGCCACCACGCCGGGCTAATTTTTTGTATTTTTAGTAGAGATGGGGTTTTACTGTATTAGCCAGTATGGTCTCCATCTCCTGACCTTGTGATCCACCCGCCTCGGCCTCCCAAAGTGCTGGGATTACAGGCATGAGCCACTGCGCCCGGCCTGAACCTAAAATTTTCTAAGTAAAAGGAACTGGCTGAAATCTTTCCTATGATTCCACTGGATGTGACTAAATTCTATAGAGTTTAAAAAGGGTTTGGTATTTATTTTAAAAAGCTATTTGTAGTAAAAGGTTGGGGGCACAGTCAGATGCATAAAAGAGACTTTCTAAAAGGCAAAATTTCTCTTATTTTTCAAAGATTTCTGTGGAGCTTAACATATGTTTGATACTTAAAAAAATGTTTATAGTGAAAAACTAGGCATCATTGGTATCTCAGAGAGATTTCATAAAAGGGGAGCATGCCTCTTATTTTTAAAGAATTCTTGGTAACCTAAGATGACAAGGAGTAGGAAGCAGAACAGGCAAGTTAACAACACAGAAAAAACAGAAATCAAACTTGGGGTAAAATATTAAATAATCTCATAAAATTTAACATCAGGCCAAGGATGCTATTTCTTTTGTATTAAAACATCAATTATGGGGAAAGAAAAATCTAATAACTAAGGAAAGATGCAGAAATTTATTGTGTCTAAATTTATTAGGACCCTGAGCATATATGATTTCCTTTTATTAAAAATTATATTCCTTGAAAGCAAAAGGCTAATGAGAAAGGGAGCTTGCATAGTGCTCTTCTAAAAAGTCACAAAGAAACAGGAACATAACTGCTTTAACCCATTCTACAGTACCTCATAGATTTCCTTTTTGCGTTCACTTGTTAATGAGTTTCCAGTAGGGTTGTTGCCACTTGGAACAGTATAAAGAAATTTGGGGGTGTTTTTCTGGGGATTCTTTGAATCTTCTGGTTTCCATCTGGAAAGTATGTCTCTTAGGGAATCTGGAACAATCCCATGTTCATCACTGGCAACATTAATAATGTTGCAGCCCAGTGGGTGCAGCTGTTGAGCACAAAAGAAAGCCTGAGTCAGTCGTGATTACAAAATATAAGTGCTATTTTTTTTTTCCTTCTAACCAAGAACTTGCTCATTCATACCCTTAAAAATATATAAACCTGCACGCAGCTCTGAGCTCCTGAGGGTTGAGGTTATACACTTTTTTTTTTTTTTCTGAGATGGAGTCTTGCTCTATCGCCCAGGCTAGAATGCAATGGTGCGATATTGGCTCACTGCAACCTCCGACTCCCTGGTTCAAGAGATTCTCCTGCTTCAGCCTCCTGAGTAGCTGGGACTACAGGTGCATGCCACCACACCCAGGTAATTTTTTGTATTTTTAGTAAAGTCGGAGTTTCACCATGTTAGCCAGGATGGTCTGGATCTCCTGAACTCGTGATCCACCCTCCTCGGCCTCCCAAAGTTCTGGGATTACAGGTGATGGTGGGACAATGAATGGGATGAGCAGATCACCAAGCAGTATAGTAGAATTTCCATATTTTACCAATTGCTAAGGCTGTACTGGCATGTACTGGCATTGCTTATAGACTTAGCTTTATACAAATTTGTGGAATCTCATTCATGGTTGAGCACTAAAATTTAAAAAAGGAACTTAAGAAATAATAATTGAATGAGGTTCTAAAAAAATTGCAAATGAAAAGCAAATACTCTTTTAGCAGTCAAATGTAGAATTATGCATAAAAAAGAACAATTCAGATCCTCCTTATGACAAATTTAAAAGGCCTTAATCTTATAAAGCACATCTACCATGAATAAAGCAAATCAACATTGCGCCATACAATAAACGCATACTGCTTATTAGCATATTTCCTCAAAGCTTGGCATACAGCTTCTGTTTTTCTGTTTGGGTATGTGAAAACATTTGTGTGTGTGTATATGCACGCTTTGTATGTAGACACTGGTTTTACATTCACAGGCATTATGTAATCTTAAATCTCAGGAGTTTAGGAAAGTAAATTATGAGTATCCAATCATTAAGAAAAAGTATTTTATTTTAGGTTTTTTATCGTGGTAAAATTGTTGCCATTTTAAGCCTTTTTTTTTTTTTTTTTTTTAAGCGACAAATTTTTTTTTAAGTGACAAGGTCTCACTTTGTTGCCCGGGCTGAAGTGCAGTGGTGCAATTATGGCTCCCTGTAACACCATGCTCCTGGGTTCAAGTGATCCTTCCACCTCTGCCTTCTGCCTGGCTAATTAAACAAACAAAAAAACTTTGTAGACACGTGCTTTGCTATGTTGCCCAGTATGGTCTCGAACTCCTGACCTCAAGTAATCCTTCAGCCTCGGCTTCCCAAAGTGCTGGGATTACAGGCGTGAGCCACCTCGTCTAGTTCATTTTAACTATTTTTAGGAGTACAATTCAGTGGCATTAATTACATTCACAATGTGTGCATCCATCACCTCTATTTCCAAAACTGTTTCCTCACCCCAAATAGAGACTCTGTACCTATTAATCAATAACTCTCCATTCTCTACTCTTCCCAGCCACTGGTAACCACCCATCTACTTTCTATCTCTATTAATTTGTCTATTCTAGATGTTTCATATAATTGGAATAATACAATATTTGTCCTTTTGTCTGGCTTCTTAAAGTTAAAATGCTTTCAAGGTTCATCCATATTGTAATATGTAACAGATCTGTGTTCCTTCTTATGGCTGAATAATACTCCATTGTATGTATATAACACATTTTATTTATCCATTCATCCACTGATGGACACTTGAGTTGCTTCTACCTTTTGGCTATTGTAAATAATATTGCAATGAACATTTGTATACAAGTATCTGTTTCAGTCCCAGTTTTCAATTCTTTCTGGGTATATACCCATGAGTGGAATTGTGGGTCACACGGTAATTCTATTTTAATTTTCTGAGGAACTGACAAACTTTCCCATGGTGGCCATACCATTTTACATTTCCACCAGCAATGAATGAACCCCAGCGTCTTCACATATTCACTATTTTTTAAAAAAATAATATCCTGGTATGTGTGAGGTAGTATCTCACAGTACTTTTAATTTGCATTTCTCTACTTAAAAATTTTTTTTCCCCAAGCCTGAGTCTTGCCAAATAATCAGACTGCAGGTACAGCTGTCACACATTGTAGAGTACTAACCACTACATGATCATGGAACTTGCAGCTTTCATATGTTGATTTATGCTGCTTTGCATTTCTCTAATCACTAATGACGCTGAGCATCTTTTTATGTGCTTATTGGTCTTTTGCACATGTTCTTCAGACTAATGTCTATTTAAGTCCTTTGTCCATTTTTAAATTGGGTTGTTTATCTTTCTGTTGTTGAGTTGTAGGAGTTCTTTATATGTTCTGGATATTAAAGCTTTATCAGATATATTATTATAAATATTTTCTCCCATTGTATAGACTCTTTTTTCGCTTTTTTCATAATGTCCTTTGATACACAACCACGTTTAAATCTTCAAGTCCAATTTATCTATTTTTGTGGTTGTTGTTGTTCATATTTTTGGTCATATCTAAAAAATCCACCAAATCTAAGGTCATAAAAATTTGCCCTTATGTTTTCTCCTAAGTGTTTGTAGCTTTTGTGCTTATATTTATGTCTTTGATCCATTTTGAGTTAAATTTTCATATGGTGTGAGGTAAGGGTCCAAATTCTTTCATATGCATGTGGAAATCCAGTTGTCCCAGCACCACAGTTGAAGAGACTACCCTTTCCCCCACTGAATGATCTTGGTACCCTTACTGAAATCAACTGGATTTGTGGGTTTATTTCTGGATGCTCAGTTCTATTCTATTGGTCTATATGATTGTCTTTATGCCAGTAACACATTGTTTGATTACTGTAGCTTTGCAGTTTTGAAATTGGGAAGTGAGAGTCTTCCAAATTTGTTCTTTTTCAAGATTATTTTGGCTATTTAGGTCCTTTAAACTCACATCAATTTAAGGATTGGCTTTTCTATTTCTGCAAAAAAGGCTGTTGGCATATCGATAGGGATTGTATTGAATCTGTAAATTGCTTAGGGTAGTATTAATACCTTAACAATAGTAAGTCTTACATTCTACGAACAGTGGAAGTCTTTCCATTTATTTGAGTTTTGCTTAATTTCTTTCAGCAAAATTTTTCAGTTTTTAATGTAAAAGTCTTCCACCTCCTTTGTTAGATTTATTCCTAGGTATTTTATTCTTTTGGATGCTATTACAAATGGAATTGTTTTATATATTGCTTTATATGTTGATTTTCATAAAAATAATATAAAATTTTTAAAAAATAAGAGAATCCATGTAGTTGGAATCAACAGAGCATAAAGGTCATCTCATTCAATTCCCCTACTCTAAGCTAGAATTACATTTGCCGTATTTGTGTTAGGTGGCAGTCAAAAGTAACTGAGCACCTACAGTGATGGGCAATGTTGTAACCTCTTATGAAGTCCGGTAAGGCCAGTGGTTAGCAAGTTCTTATATAGAGCTGAAATTGTTTCCCTGTGGTTCCAGTTTTATTAACCTAAGGTCATGTACAAATAAATCTAATTCTTTTGTTACATGACTAACTTCTATGCATTTGAGGACAGTTTTCATGCCTCTCTTGAGTCTTTTCTTTCTGGGGAAAATAGCTCCAGTTCCTACAACATTCATCATATGGTATGGTTTCCAATTCCCTATTTACTCTGACTATCTTTCTCTGAATATGCTCCAGTTGTGGACATTTCTTTCTTAAAGTAGACTGCCCCAAACAAACCTAATTCTCAGCAATGTGCTCTGACCAGTGCAGAGCAGAGTCAGATCATCCGCTTCCTCATTCTGTATATCACAGTTCCACGGATCTAACTTTGGAGTGGAAAGTCCTAATTATACTATATTAGTATACTAAACTGACATATAACATGGTGTACTTATGCATATGGTAATAAGATAGTAATAAAAAATAAATTTTTGTAATTTAAATTACATTTAAAGTGAAATATTAAGAGAATTGGACACGATTTTGTATAACCTAATTTTAATGCCTATACACTTGGATTTTTAAAAAGAAATGTATAAAGAAGAGGGTACCTTTAACATATTTTGTATATATCATTTAAGATTATCCTGCTTATGGATAAAAGATGCTACTTCATTTTTCTGTGTATAGATTATTCTAAAGTTAATAAGATATTAACTTTATTATTATAAAGTTATTATAAAACTTTTATTATAAGTTTTCTTCTTATTTACCACAACAGAGTTGCCTTTTGTAAAATGTATACTCACACTTTGAAGAGTTCCTGAATAAGCAGGTTCATCTAGGAGGACATTATCTCCAGGGTTAATGATCATTTCAAACACCTAACAAAAGAAGCATAGGTTAGCTTGTTAGTCAGCATAGGTTAGTACTGTTTCCATGCTCAGAAGCCCATTTTTTAGTTTGAGCTCACATGATTCTACAGTAAGAATTAGCAAATTGTTTATAAAGGGCCAAACAGTAAACATTTTGTGGATCATAGTATTTCTGTTGCAACTACTCTGCCTCTATAGTGAAAAAGCAGCCATAGACAATATATAAATGAATGGGTGTGACTGCATTCCAATAAAACTTTATTTACAAAATTTGATGAAGGGCTGGATTTGGCTCTCAAGCCACAGTTTGCCAACTCCTGTTCCTGAGTAAGGTGAACAGAGGTTTGGCTCCTAACATTCATTTATTCCTTTCATTGCTTCTTTGAAAATCTATTAAATGTTTACTATAAGCCAGGCCTGTGTAAAGTGTCAGAGATAAAATAGTAAGCAAAATGACATGGTTCTTACTCTCATGGAGCTACTGGTCCACTGGGAAAGCTAGACACCAATTAAATAACTACCCAATAAATGTGCAATTAAAAACAGTGGTAAGTGATATTAAGTACAGATGCACAATGACATGAGAGCTCATTGTAGGAAGACCTAGGCATTGAGGAAACTCAGGGAAGGCATCCTGGAAGAAGTGATGAGTTGGTGTAGGGGGTGACAATAGTTACATGTGAAGAGCCAAAATAATTATGTGTCTTGAGGCAGAAGGTAAAGAGTGGTGTGAGATCAGACAGAAGTGGGCAGAGACCAACCATGTAGGCATTTGAGCCAAGGGAGGGAAGTAAGGATTTTAAGAAGAGAGTGGGGAGGGAGAGTTGCATGATCAGATACTCATCTTGAAAAGATCAATCTGACTGCAGTATGAAAGAATAAAAGAAGGGTGAGAATACACGTGGAAAGTTTGGAAAGTTTTTAGGATTGTTTGGGAAGTTACTGCCACGGTCCTGGAAACAGATAAGGGTCATCTTAAAGTAGAGTGGTGACAGTGGAATTGTAGAGAAGAACTGAGAGGTATTAAGAAATGAAAAGTAACGGAACATGATTATGGACAATAGGGAAATGAGGAAGTGGAGGTGTCAAGAATGATGCCTAGGTATTTGGTTATGGAACTAGATAGACGGTGGGGGTGGTGCTATTCACTGAAACGCAAAACCAAAAAGCCATCCATATCTGAGTGAGAGGATGATTTGTTTTAGTGTGAGATGCCTTTGAAACATCCTGTGATGATGTCAGATGGATAGATGGACAAATGGATTTGGAAGGAGCTTGCAAGTTACTGGCATATGGTTGATCATGTGAATGTTAATAGATACCCAGGAAAAGTACATAGACTAAGGAGAGATGTTCAAGGACGGAGCTACAGGGAACTCCAATCAATAATGGCTGGGTAGAGGAGGACACTGCAAGGAAGGCAGGGCAAGTGGGCTGGAGGAGAACCACACAACATGCTACTGAGAGAGGTGGAGGAGGACAGTGTTTCCAAAAGGGCGGGGGAGACTTCCAGTTCCAAAATGGTGGTGTAGAAGCAAGTTGGCTTCATTCCCTCCCACAAAACCACTAACAAATATACAGTGCTAAAATTTTCACCAGAAACAACCCAGAACTCAAATATAAGGATGAGTCAGTTCCTAGGACTATAGAGAAATGAAAAAACTCTGAGCAGATGGTAAGAAAAACATACTTCTGCATCTATGATACTCCTCCTCCCAATTCTGCCTGGCACCAAGCACATGGAAAATCTCCCCCTAACTCACGGCTTCTACACTAGAAAAAGTGAGATTGAGGTGGCCAAGAGTTTCCCCACCATCTCTGGTTCCCTGGCAGGAGTCCTGTCCTTGCCTTAACCCTTGGAAAGCATCATGATTGACTGGAGGAAAAAACATCCCTGAGGAAAGGCAGAGACAAAATGGGAAGGCAGGACTACCATCCCAAGCCCTGGAAACTCTGCACTGTAACTCAGCAAAAAGGGCATGCCAAATCAGAGTGATTGTTCAGCAGCACCACACTGCAGGAGGAATGCTCCAGAGGTTCCTGGGCATAATTATTTTGCTAGCCACCTCATGCCAATGGAATAAATCCTTTGGGACCTCCCTGATTTGGGACAGGCTATTCTCGAATTATTTACTAAACCTGGGCTTAAGGTGCTACCTACAAAGATGCCAACAAGGAAGCAGTGACCCAGCAATAGAGATTTACTAAGCAAATATATCCAATAAAAAGCAAAGCAAGCCAGACAAAACAAACAAAAAACTAGAATAAATAAGTAATCCTTCAATGCAAAAAACAGATGTATACCTACAAGAAACAATAGCAAACAGGAAACCATGACCTCCCCAAAATGACAGAGCAACAATCCAGTGACTGATCCTAACAAGATGGCAATTTGTAAGCTCTTTGACCAAAAATTCAAAATAGCAGTTTTAAGAAAACTCAGGGCCAGGCGCGGTGGCTCACACCTGTAATCCCAGCACTTTGGGAGGCCGAGGTGGGTGGATCACGAGGTCAAGAGATCAAGACCATCCTGGCTAACACGGTGAAACCCTGTCTCTACTAAAAATACAAAAAATGAGCTGGGCGTAGTGGCGGGCACCTGTAGTCCCAGCTACTCAAGAGGCTGAGGCAGGAGAATGGCGTAAACCTGGCAGGTGGCACTTGCAGTGAGCCGACATCACACCACTGCACTCCAGCCTGGGCGACAGAGCAAGACTCCGTCTCAAAAAAAAAAAAAAAAAAAAAAAAAAAGAGAAAAGAAAACTCAGTGATCTTCAAGATAACTCAGAACAGCAATTCAGAAATTTATCAGAGACATTTAACAAAGAGATTGAAATAATAAAAATAAAACGCCCCAGAAATTTTGGAACTGAGAAATACTGAACTCAGAATTGTTGAACTGAGGAACTCATTAGAGGCTCTCAAAATCAAAACGGACCCAGCAGAAGGAAGAATCAGTACGCTTGAAGATTGGCTATGTGAAAATACAGTCAGGGAAAAAAGAAAAAAGAACAAAGAATGCCTACAAAATACAGAAAATTACCCCGAAAGACTAAATCTAAGAATCATTGGTCTGCAAGAGGAAGGTGAGCAAAAGCAAGGAGTACAAAGCTTATTTAGAGAAATAATAACAGAAAAAGTTTCTAAAATTTGAGACAGATAAATATCCAGGCCACAAAAGAAGGTCTGAGAACATCAAACAGATTTAATCCAAATAAAACTACCTCGAAGCATATAAGAATCAAACTCTCAAAGGCTAAGAACAAACAGAAGATATGAAAAGCAACAAGACAAAAGAAGAAAATAATACATACACGAGCTCTAATTTGTCTCACAACAGACGTCTCAATGGAAACCACACAGGCCAGGAAGAAGAGACATGGCATTTTAAAAGTGCCCAAAGAAAAAAGCTGCTAAGAATATTGTTTTTTTTTTAACTGATTGATTGATTGAGATGGGGCCTCGCTATGTTAACGAGGCTGGTCTCTAACTCCTGGCCTCAAGCAATTTTCCCATCTCAGCCTCCCAAAGCACTGGGATTACAGGTGTGAGCTACCATTCCCGGCCCATCCAAGAATATTGTACACTTGATCTTAGCCAGAAGGCTGAGAAGCGATCATCCAAGAATACTGTATCCAGCAAAATTATCCTTCAAATATGATGGAGAGATAAAGTCTTTCTCAGACAAACTAAAGCTGAGAGAATTTACCACCACCAGATTGTATGAAAAATGCTAAAGGGAATTCTTCAACCTGAAATAAAAAAGTACTAATGTACAAAAGAAAACTTTTCAAGGTAAAAATCCCACTGGTAAAATTAAGTACGTGGACAAACCCAGAATATTCTATGATTGTAATTATGGTGTGTGATCCACTCATAATTCTCATATGAAGCCCAAATGACAAATCAATCAAAAACATTAATACCTACAGCAACCTGTTAAGATAGGTAATACGTAAATTGAGATATCTCAAAGTCAAAATGTGGGGGGGATGGAGTTAAAGAATAGAGGATTTTTTTTGTGTGTGTTTTTTTGCATTTGTTTGCTTCTCCAACATAAGATAAGTTGATCCAAGATAAGTTGTTACCTCTTTAAAATAACTTTTTATATCAATAAGTTTTTTTTTTTTTGTAAGCCTCATGGTAACCACAGTACAAAAACTTATAATTGATTCACTAAAAATAAAGAGCAACAAATTACATAATAGTACCAGAGAAAATCACTTAACCACAACGGAAGACAGTAAGAAAGGAAGAAATGAAGAGAGGAGTCTCAAAACAACCAGAACACAAGCAACAAAATGCCAGTAGTAAGTCCTAACATATCAATAATAACACTGAATGTAAATGGTCTCCATTCTCCAATTAAAAGGCATAGAGTGGCTCAGTGGATAAAGAAACAAGACCCAATCATATGCAGCCTACAAGAAACCTACCTCACCTATAAAGACACACATTCTGAAAGTGAGGAGGTGGAAAAACATATTCCGTGGAATTGGAAACCTAAAAAGAGTAGGTGTAGCTACACTTACGTAAAATAGATTACAAATATAAGATTGTAAAAAGAAACAAAGAAGGTCACTATATAATGATAAAGGGGTCAATTCGGCAAGATAATATAACAATTATAAATATATATGCACCCAATACCATACCTCCCAAGTATACAAAGCAAGTATTAATAAATATAAAGGGAGAGATAGAATGTAATACAATAATAGTAGGAGACTTTAACACTTCACTCTCAGTAATAAACAGATTATCCAGACAGAAAATCAACATAAAGAAACAGTGAGGTAAAACTACACACTAGATCTAACAGACCTAATAGACATTTACAAAAATATTCAACCAACTGCTGCAGCATATACATTCTTTTCATCAGCACAATGAAGAGTCTGCAGAACAGACCATACCTTAGGCTATAAAACAAGTTTGAACAAATAAAAAAAAAAAAAAACAAATCTTATCAAATATCTTTTCTGACCACAATAATAAAACTAGAAATCAATAACAAGAGGAACTTTATAAAATATGCAAGGACATGAAAATTAAACAACGTGCTCCTGAATGGGTCAATGAAAAATGAAGCAGGAAATTAAAAGTTTTACTAAGAAAAATGAAAATGGAAATGCAATATACTAAAATTTGTGAAATACAGCAAAAGCAGTTGTAAGAGGAAAGTTTACAGCAATAAATGCCTGTATCAAGAAAGTAGAAAGACTTCAAATTAACAACCTAATAATGCACTTCAAGGAACTAGAACAACCTACAGGATGGGAGAAAATATTTGCAAACCACCCATCTGACAAGGGATTAACAACTCAATAGCAAAAACCCCAAATAATCCCATTAAAAAATGGGCAAAAGATCTTAACAGACATTTCTAAAAGAAGACATAAAAATGCCCAAAAGGCATTTAAAAAGTTCAATATTACTAATGCAATCAGAAATGCAAACCAAAACCACAATGAGATATTACCTCACCACAGTCAAAATGGCTAGCTTCAAAAAGACAAGTAATAACAGATGCTGATGAGGGTAGAGAAAGCGGAACCCTTGTACACTTTGATGGGAATGTAAATTGGTACAGCCACTATGGAGAACAGTACAGAGGTTCCTCAAAAAACTGAAAATAGAACTACCATATAATCCTGCAATCCCACTGCTGAGTATATATCCAAAACAAAAATATCAATATATCAAAGCAGTATCTGCACCTCCATGTTTATTATGGCACTTATTCACAATAGCCAAAATATGGAACCAACCTAAGTGTCCATCAGCTGATGAATGGATAAGGAAAATGTGGTATACACACAATGGAATATTATTCAACCATTAAAAAGGAATAAAATCCTGTCATTTGCAGCAACGTGGATAGAACTGGAGGTCATTATGTTAAGGGAAATAAGCCAAGTACAGAAACACAAATATTGCATGTTCTCCCTTATCTGTGGGAGCTAAAACAGTGGATCTCATAAGGATAGAGAGTAGACTGGTGGTTACTGAAGGATGGAAAGGACATGGGGGAGATAGGGTGAAAGAAAAAATAAAGAATATAAATGTACTTATTACCACTGAACTGTATACTTAAAAATGGTAAGGATAGCAAATTTTATATATATATGTGTGTGTGTGTATATATATATTATGGCAACAGAAAAAATTAAAAATTAATTTTTAAAAATAAAATGGATGGGGAGATCAACAGTGTTAAAGGATATTTCTAGGTCAAGTAATAGAAGGTTTGACAAATCTTTGGAAATTATGTGGATAATATGATTTCTACTACAATCACTAGAGCCAGGCAATAGATTTTTCCAGCCTAAATCAAAGGGGTCTATTATGACTAAATCATACATAAGTCACAGAATAATTGCTTCTTAACATGTGATGTTTCACAATCCCCAGTTTGAGTCCTTTTTCCTATCATTTTATCAACCCACATCTCACCACAAACAGTAGGGCCATTATCAATTGAGATAGAAGACTTAACTTTTGTTTCCCAATTGGCCTGTCATGTTCAGTTTATCTTTTCCTTATGAACTTTTGGCATCTTATGACAAACAGTATCCTCCTCTGGAAAGTTTCTAATTGAGTTAAGCTTTACAAGACATCCTAGGACCAAAGGAATCACTTGGGTGGCATGCACATATTAACAGATCAAAGGAAAACCTAATTAGCGTTGATCCTTGAACAACATGGATTTGAACTGCACAAGTTCACTTATACGCACAGTTTCTTCTGCCTCTGCCTCCCCTGAGACAGCAAGACCAACCCCTCCTCTTCCTCCTTCTCCGCAGCCTAATCAACATGCAGATGAGGATGAAGACCTATATGATGATCCACTTCCACTTAATGGTAAATATATTTTCTCTTGCTCATGACTTTCTTAATACCATTTTATTTTCTCTGGTTTACTTTATTGTAAAAATATAGTGTATAATACATATAAAATATAAAATATGTGTTAACTGACTATATTATCAGTAAGGCTTCTGGTCAAGAGTAGGCTATTAGTAGTTATGTTTTAGAGGAGTCAAAAGTTATATGCAGATTTTCAACTGCATGGAGTCATTGCCCTTAAATCCCTGTGTTGTTCAAGGGTCAACTGTAAATATATTTTCCACATCAGTTAGGGGACATACAAATTTCAAGTATATTAAATTAGAAGGGAAGGCTGTTATCATCTGGGAGCATTGTTTAAAAGATGAGAGAGAAACACAGGAGCCTAAAATAACATGAATCCTAGAGAACAACGTGGAAGAAATATTAAACCAGATACATATTAGTGCCTCTGTAATAAGCATGTCTGTAAGTAGTAAGTTGCTGACGTATTTAGCCATCTATGCTGTCTTCTTTGTATAACTGGTGCTGTGATGGATAAAGAAGAAACTGTCTTAAGCAACTTTCTGGAAGAAAAAGTCCTGGCACCCTTTCTTGAGGAAATAATTTCATTGAAAAATACTCTTATATCATTCTATACAATCACAAATGTTTCTCTTCAAGCAAAGACTCAAACACTAGCTATTCTTTTACTTTTCCTAATTATATACAAAAAGGGTAAGTTTTTTTTTAATTTTTAAAAACTTTAAAAAATGTTTTTACTACTGTAACTCATTATTCCATAACAATAATTTAATTAAAATTCATTAAAGCAAACCAGATTACAGTTTTCATATTTCCATGAAAAAGAAAATACTCTGGTTTCAGATTAAGATAAATGGGAGTCAGAGATTAATCTAGATCTGAGAATGAATATAGAGAATCTTATTATTCATGGAAAACAAAGGAGAAAGTATACCAGCACTTTGGGAGGCCAAGGTGGGCAGATTGCTTGAGCCCACAAGATCAAGACCAGCCTGTCCAACATGGCAAAATAATATAAAAATTAGCTAGGCATATTGGTGTACACCTGCAGTCCTAGCTACTTGGGAGGCTAAGGTGGAAGAATTGTTGGAGCCCAGGGATGTCGAGACTACCGTGAGCCGTGATTGCGCCACTGCACTCCAGTCTGCATGACAGGGTGAGACCCTGTCTCAAAAAAAAAAAAAAAGAAAAAAAAAAGAAAGAAAGAAAAAAGAAAAGAAAAGAACAGATTAAACTGAGGACCACAGATGTGGTCTCTTTATTGTGGCAACTAACCAGTGGTGTTTACATCCGTGGAGTTTCTGGAACCCAGAAGGGAAGAAGATGGAATAACTAATGCCACGAGGAGAGGGAGAGAGAGAACCAATCCATGTAAGAAGTCAGAGATACAGACATATAAACAGATCTAGAGAAATGCACCCAAGAGGGGGACAAGATACAAGCAGTGGCAAGCACAGAGATTCCATAGACAGATATGCAAAGGAATATAAATATTTTTATCTCAGGAATATGAAGGTATGCCCTCTAAAAAATTTAAAAATCATATTGAAATTTCCTAACTATAGGCAGAAATCAAGTGTAACTTGAATTTTTGAGCCAGATGAAATTAAGTAATGTTCACTAAGCTGTTGGTAGGAGTTGAGTACTCCCTTAGTGGGAATCCTGCTTTAATGGTTAATAGGTCTGCATAATTGACCACATGCTCTGTATTTAATATTTAACAGATTAGGCTAGTGAATGATGTTAAGAACAGATAATGTTTGAAAGTCCTTGTGTTCACAATGAGGAAAACTAAGGGGAAATATTGATAGATCAACCTACAATATTTCTGCCTGGCTTTTGCTTACAGTCAACATCCCCTACCCACCCTTGCCCATCCCCGGCCACAACTGCTCCCACCGGCATCCTATGACTTGTCTTTTAGTTCCCTGTTAATAATTCTAGGTGAAGACAAGAAAGACGACCAGTAATCCATAAAATATGATTCTCTGTGATTAAGTGAGAGAGGACTATAGAAACGAATGCTTCCAATTCTCCATTTTGGCTGAGTTTTCCTTTCAGTCTTACCTTACAAAGACCTTGTTGGCTGCCAGATGTGACACATAGGTCCATTTGTCCTTGACTGGGTGGGTAATGGACAGTAGGAGGATTATGCAATTTTATTTGTAACTGTTTTAGCCAGGACAAAAGCTCTGGAATTCTAAAGCATAAAATGTATTTTTAAATTCATAGTAGTAAAAATCATAGTAATAGTAGTAGACAGGAAATAATAAATGACAGCTTTATCAAGTACTTTGTACACTCAATTAAAAAACCCTCAAATGCTTTTTGCCAGTATTAATATTCTTATTTAAAAGATAGGCAGTAGACTTAGAGATTAGGAAATTCCCATAAGTCAATCAGCCAGAAATTCTCATAAAGTCAATTATGTAATCAACGAGCTGAGATTTGAATCTATATCTTTCTTATTCCAAACCTGAAGTCTTTAGAGGAATCATTGCATAATCGATTCTTTGTTCTCTCTAGGAAGAGTTCTATGGCTATCTAGAAGTTCAGGCTCAATAAGTTGTTTGTATTACGGAATGTTCGAATAAGACTATGTATATTTAACATATTATATAACTAATGCATGTATGCACGAATAACATATTTCAATATACTTTTCAATCACAGAACAAACAAGGTTTTAATAAAGTGTAATTTATAGGTTCTCCATAAATTATCCTTTATCACTGGAAGAAGACCAGCTAAAGAAAGTCGTCAGATATGTTTCAGCTTGCCTTTAAGAAATTAAAGACATTTGAACCCATGAGGGCAATGTATTTGCATGGCTGCTTGTTTAGAAAGGGAATATAATTATTAAAAAATTGCCTGGGGACTTAAAGTTGCTGCCTCCTGGACTTTCCATTTCTTCATTTCTCCTGATATGTTTTTTTCACCTGGATATCTTCTCACTTTTTTGGACTCAGCTCTAATCGTATTTCCTTCTAGAAGCCTTCTTGGTCATTTGCAATTGAGAAGCAATCACTGAGGAGTGTTAAGCATTCAATATCCTTTCTGCTCTTAATTATCCTTTGAAAACCTTTCCCCAGACCTTCCTAACTATTGAATACTCACTTGGTTAGTATTCAATGACCAAGTGAGTATTTGGTCACTGAATGACCAAATGAGTCAATGGCCTTAGAATGTTTATTAATGGGCCTTAGAATATTTCTTTAATATTCTTTATCAATGGGCCTTAGAATATTTCTCATGAAAATAAGCCAATAAAATTATGTTAAGTATTGATACTTACCCAGCACTCGGAGAATACTGAAGTGCTCTCTTCATCATCTCTTCTCCAAATTCGATGGTCTTTCCATTTTCTACAGTGATTACAGCAGTCTTAAAAGGAAACATGTTTGGATTTGGTAAGCCACCAGCCAAGGAGATCATCGATTTTGGTCCTCTGCTCGATATTTCAGCTATCATACACATGGAAGAGAAGAAACAATTTCACTGAAGATTGTTATAAGCAGATAGTTAAGCATGCATTATCATCAATAAAACTATAAAGTTTAACAATTTCTAGTGATAGAATGTGCTATGGTCTAAATGTTGGTGTTCCCCCCACATTCATACTTGGAACTTAATACTAATGTGATAGTTTTAAGAGGTGGGGTCTCTAGAGGTGATTAGGTCAGAAGGGATCCACCCTCCTGAATGGGATTGGTGCACTTATAAAAGAAGGCTGAGGAATGCCCTTGACCCTTGTGCCATGTGAGGACACAGGTTCCCCCTTCTACTACGTGAGGATGCAGCAAGAAGCCTCTGTCTATAAGGAAGGGCTCTCACCAGATACAGGATCTGCTGGCACTTTGATCTTAGACTTCCTAGTCTCCAGAACTGTGAGAAATAATTCTATTGTTTATAAATTACCCAGTTTGTGGTATTTGTTATAGCGGCCTGAATGGACTAAGACAAACGCTAGTCTAAAATAAACATACAGAATAACTTTTTCTGGGCCGCCTCACCTGTGGAGGGACTAAAGAATGAAGGTGACCAAAGAGAAGGCAGAGGGATCAGGAAGACAGCAAAGGGCCACAACAGCAGAAGCCCTCCTCCACTTAGCCCCGACCTGTCTGTGAGCTTCATGGCCCACTCCTACCTCTCCCATTTACCTGGCCCTCTCCACTGCACACCCATCTGCACGCTGTGCCTGCCCCTTCTCAGCTTCCCAGGAAGAGCCTTTCTCCATAGCACGCCCCCTCCCTTCCAAGGCCGTGCCCCACAGCAGTCTGCGCCTCTCTCTACAGCTGCTCGGACTCTGCTCCAGCAGAAATACCCGCCTTCCGTTTCAGCCCGAGTTCTTTGAGAACAAAGGCTCTGCCTATTTCATTTCTGCACGCAGAGTCTGGCTCATCGCGAGCGTGCACAGGGGTACGCATGGATGCAGCCAAGCGGTGGCTTGCTAGGGAACCCTCCTTAGAGGCTGTGCGAGGAATGTCCCACCCCAAAGGAGTGATGGTCGCCCCGTTTCTCACTCGCGGTCCGGATGGGAGAAGGGTTTCTGGCTGCGCTCGCTGCGGTGATGAACCGTGCGTAATTCATGTCTCTGACAGCCAAGCATCAAGCTTCCTCTTCAGTGGCTGAGGACTAGAAAAACCAAAGAGCCTCGTCAAGTCCTGCCTGCTAACTTCCTCACTCTGGCAACGCCAACGCGAGCTGTCCCCCCGCTGCGTCTGGCTTCCCGCGCGCAGTGCCCGGAGAACGCCGCCGAAACTCCCCGGCTGGACGCTGCGTTCGGTCTCCCGGTCCTAAACGGGTCTGGGGCTGGTGGCGAGCCTGGCAAAGTCCACGCCGCACGCGCTCCGGCGGCCGCCAGGGCCCACGCCAGTTTTGCCCCGCCGCGGGCCTCGCCGCGCCCCCTCCCGCCCCGCGCCGTGGCCTATGGCCGCCCGCCGCGCGCGCCTCCCCGTCCCGGATCATCGCCCTCAGAGCGCAGGGCGCGCGGGGGAGCCCGGGTGCGAGGCGCTTGCAGCCCCAGGCCAATGACTCTTGACCTCGCCGCTGGGAGTCACCAGAAGCCGGCGTCCGCGTTGGCCTGCCTAGGTGCCGGCCGGGAGGCCAGCCCAGGGGCTGCCCGAGGGGACCGGAAGTGCCCGTGATCCTAATCCTCGGGAACCATCTGGCGGCCACTTGGGTCCACTGCAGGGGGCTCCCGAGCTGCGCCCAGCCTGGAGAGGCCGCACCTTCGTTCCCGCGCGCTCCGCTGGCCTCCTCTCAGTCACTGGGACTGTGCATTTTGCCCGCTCAGACCATGGCTATGCTAAATACCCATCTTTCGTTAGTGAAACTCTGGGCACTCTCCTGGGAAGCACCCCGGCGACCCAGACGAATTTCAACATCACTTTCTCGAAGATCTCAGCATTTTGGAGTGACGATGGAGTTCTGACAAAAATTTTTCAATAATCACTCTGAGAGTCTCTTCAGTTTTAGTGTCTACCCTCGCATTGAATTTCTGACCTTTCCTTAAATAAGAATTATCTTGGAAGTGAATATCCGGATCTTTTTGGGTCTAGCACCTTGCCTTTTTTTTCTTACAAAATAATCCTGCTTACGCCCCACCTCCTCAACTTTTCTGCAATTTTTCCTTCCTGAATCACCAAAATGGAATGTACAAGGTTTAATGTGAGCACTTAGTGAGGGAAGGGTTTCAGAAAACCTCTCTTTCACTTTTTTTAAAAAAAATCTTTAATGGTCATTAAAATGAATGAACTGGATTCACTCATTCAGTACGAATTTGCTGAGTACTTCCTGGATGATTATTGGCTCACTGCCAATGGCTCTCTTTTAATCTTTATTTAATAGGTTGGTCAAGGAGCCACTGCTTTTATCTAGGTCCTGGCAGCAAAAGGCTGAGATAACCCAGTAAAATCTTTATGCTAGCAGCTAAATAACAAAAAGGGAGTATCATTAGTAAACCTGTTAGAAACCCAAGAGGCAAGATGCTTCTGGATTCAGAGACTTCAAGTAGTTGAAATGCCACTTGATGGCTTAACAGCTGGGTGTCTTTGGACAAGTTACTTAACCTTTCTGTGTATTGGTTTTTTCACAGGCCTGTTGGCAGGAATAAATTAGACAATCTGTATTAAACTAATAAGTGCAGTGGTCTGCACATTGTAAAAACACTCTATGAACATTGGCTGTTTTTATTAGTAACAAATGCTTTTAAGCAAAACTTAAGGACTCAGCCTTCACATGGTTTTGACTAGAGAAGCTATTTGGCAACTTTTAAGGCATGTTCCCAGTTAATCCTTGCACACAGATCCTTATCTGTTTGCGCTTGTCTATTCTAAAAGTAGTTGTCCCTGAATTTTTACAGAAGTTAACTCAAGAAGCACTAAAAACATCTAAATAAGGTGTAGATCAAGGTTAATTATGACTTGTAACTAGATATATTGATGTTCCTGGGGACTTCAGGCTTTTTTTTGATAGGGGGAGGGCTCTAACTGAGCATGGTTTCCTCAGATACTTAGAAGAAAATTTAAACTTCGGCCAGGTGCAGTGGCTCACGCTTGTAAACCTAGCACTTTGGGAGGCCAAGGTGGGTGGATCACCTGAGGTCAGGAGTTCGAGACCAGCCTGGCCAACGTGGCAAAACCCTGTCTTTAGCCGGACATGGTGGCAGGCACCTGTAATCTCAGCCACTCGGGAGGCTGAGGCATGAGAATTGCTCGAACCCGGGAGGCCGAAGTTGCAGTGAGTCGAAGCTGAGATCACGCCACTGCACTCCAGTGGGGGATAAAGCTGGGGGATAGAGCGAGACTCTGTCTCAGTTTAAATGTCTTCCCTCTGGCAGTAGCAACCTGTTTGGTCAAAGGAGTTTGAAGTCCTGGGCCAAAAGACTAAAGGTTTTTGTAAGCACATTGATGCACCGATCTGTGATTTATAGTATTTATTACTCACAGGCTATTTATTTTATTTTATTTTGAGAGACAGAGTGTCTGGAGTCTCACTTTGTTGTCCAGGCTTGAATGCAGTGGCGCCAACCATAGCTCACTGCAGCCTCGTCCTCCTGGGCTCCAGCGTTTCTCTCACCTCAGCTTCCCGGATAGCTGGGACTACAGGAGAACACCACCACAGCAGGGTAAGTGTTTAAAATACCTTATAGAGACAGGGTCTCCCTATGTTGCCCAGGCTAGTCTTCAACTCCTGGCTTCAAGTAGTCCTCCCACTTTGGCCTCCGAAAATGCTGGGATTATAGGCATGAGCCACCATGCTTGGCCTCACACAGGCATTTTTAAAAATACATAATTAATTGATTTTCCCCCTTTCCAAACAGTGGTGACACAATTTAAGGAACCCGAACTGAAGAGACATGAGGTCATCAAATCCTAAGGTGCAGGTTTTCAACCCTTAAACAGTTTGCTGAATTTTCTATTTGGCCTGCCCTGGAGTTGTACTGCTGAGACGTTGGGGGTGCTGATTGATTACAAGCTGGCTGATGATTCAGGCCAGATGGAGAGGCAGAGAAATGGTCCATCAGGGCAGGCTAATGGAATGCAGGGGCACTGGGGGTCATGATCAGAAAATGCAAGGCAGAATATAGTCACAGTGGTGGGAAAGGGACAAGCAAGGGTTAAGTTGGGAAGAGCTTACCAGACAATAGAAGCTGAAGACTGAAGGTAAATTTGATTGCCAGAGAAACCAGACTTTGGATTTGTCAGGCGACAACAGCAGAAGGCTTCTTCTGAGGGACTAAGATAAATGAGCAAGGTTCATTGCTCAGTGCTGCCTTTTTAGAAGCTTGGCTTAGGACTGCCCGAGGATAGAATTAAAGACGTCAGATTCTTTCTCCAAACATTTACTGAATTCTTACTCTGTTCTAGGAACTGTAATTGATTTAAAAAGATAACTAAGACAAGTCGCTACTCTTGAAAAGCAACTGTTTGCACATTAAGACGTCAATAATGTCAGATAATACAATGTTTGTGGCAGAGGCAGGTGCAAGCTGCTAAGGAAAGCAGAGGGAAGGAAGTCTCTCTTTTCTTCTCCTCTCGTCTCCCCTCCCTTCCCTTTCCCTCCCCTCCCCTCCCCACCCTTCTCCTTTTCTTTTCTTAAGTATCCCTTATCTGAAATGCTTGGGAACAGAAGTATTTGGGGGTTTTGGATTTCTTTACATTTTGGAATATTTGCATATACATAATAAGGTATCTTGGGGATGGAACCCAATCCTAAACAAGAAATTCATTTACATTTCATATATGCCTTATGCATGTAGCCTGAAAGTAATTTAATACAATATTTAAAATAATTTTGTGCATGAAACAAAGTTCGTGTACATTGAACCACCCATGTAGGCCCTCTGTAGTTGTTTGGCATCATTATCATTCCTGACTCTGAATTTATATGCTACTGATAAGCAATCATTTTCTTATAATTATTCACACATAGTACTTAACAGTAAAATATTTTGTTAATCATTAGTACAGTGAAGAAATAATGTGTTTAGGTCAACTGAGCAGCACAGCAGCATCACCACAATACCTGTATCAGCTGTTAAACAACAGTAACAGCAAACAATGGCAGGATTTCAGTCTCTAGATACGGTGCTGTGTTTTGATTAAGGTTATGTAGACCGTATTTTGTATTTTAGGTAAGAAGAAATGTCAGAAGCAGCTGAAGGACCAGAAAGTGGGTCCCCTAGGGATGAGGAGTCAATCTGCTGGATGGATTTTAAAACTCTGTCCTCTAGAGTCATCTGCTTCATTAACAATGGTTTTTGTCTGAGAAGGCGCTGTTTGATTTCATAAGCTGACATGGTTTCTTGTTCTCTTATACATGCATGCTGCTCTAGTGCTTAAAAAAGCCCATCACAGATTTTCACCATGTCAGCTATAGACACTTTTCCTGCTGAGTTAACATCATCTTTATCATCCACTTGTGGCATCATTTTGGTGCTCAAAAAGTTTCAGATTTTGGAGCATTTTGGATTTCAAATTTTTGGATTAGAGATGTACAACTTATACAAATAAGAGCACATTGACAGGTTGTGTGTGTGCATGATTTTTGGGAGACACTATTCAGCCTGCTATAGTCAATGACTAAAGGAGCCTAATATGTAATAGTCTGAGAGATAGGAGGAAAACCAGAAATTTACAGTGAGACAGTGAAGGAAGGGAATGTTTCGAGAAAGACTGAAGGGCTCCTAAGAGGATAAACTTATATCTTTTATCTCAGAACTCCAGGATCACAGATTCAACTATCACTAACCAATAAGAGTAACACTCAATTGCTTTAAGACTGTTTTGGGTTCTTATGCCAGCCCATGTCTCATCAAGGAGTAATCATGAGATGTGTCTTAGTGTCTTAGTTCATTTAGTGTTGCTATAGCTGAACACCTGAGGGCGGGTACTTTATAAAGAAAATAGGTTGATTTGACTCATGATTCTGAAGGTCAGAAAGTATAAGAGCATGATTCTTGCATCTTTTCAGCTTCTGGGGAGGGCCATGTGTTGTGTCAAGACGTGGCAGAGAAGTGGAATGCTAAGGGGACATATGCAAAGAGACAAACACTAAAGGCTGGGCTTACTTCATAATACTTGTTCTTGCATTAACTTATCCAGTCCTGTGAGAGTGAAAACTTACTCCCATAAGATGGCATGAATCAATTCATGAGGGATCTGCCTCCATGACCAAAGACCTCCTATTATGCTCCACCTCCCAATGCTTCTACACTGGTAATTAAACTTCAACATGAGTTTTTGTGGTGACAAACAAAATCCAAACCAGAGCACACAGTAACTTGAAAAAAATTGCTATTCATAAATGGCATCTACCTCAGAAATAATTCTTTGAGTTAGGGTGGACAGCCTTGCCTTGTGGCCAATATATCCCTGTTGAGGTATGTATATTGGAGATCTCAGTCATTAATTTGGGTGCAGTTTGGAGTGCAGAAGAGAAACACAAAAATAACCACTGGGTTCTGATACAGACAGAAATGTACTGAGGTCCGTAGAGTAACCATCATAATAGAACTGCCAGTCAAAGCTTGAGAGATGGCAGATATTACCTGTCATGAAATGGGTAGGCAACTCTAGAACTTTATAATTAAATAGAAATAGTATCATCTTAGAGAACTGTTCAGAATCAACACCCTTGTGTGTTGAGTCTATGGGTATAGTCTTTGGAAAGAGACACAATGTATCTTTAGACTGAAGACCATAGGATGACTCTGTGGAATGCTGTCCTTGTCATTTAGGATGCTGGCTGCTCAACTGTTAAATAGCTAATGTTCATTTGATATAATGCCATTATTACATGCATCGTATGTAGGATACTTGTTTATATTATATGTATTTTAAATCTTCTCAATCTATTCCTCATTTCTTTTAACATCTTTCATATTTTATTACTTTCACTGTGCTGTGTCCATGTGGATTTTGTAGTTACATTTTTAAGGTATTAATTTTTTTATTCAATTATTTGTAGTTGTTTGCACATTTTTCTCAGTTGTTTTTTCCTTTTTTTGAGAACAGGGTCTCACTGTGTCACCCAGACTGGAGTGCAGTGATGTAAGTATGACTCACTGCAGCCTTGACTTCCTGGGCTCCAGTAATCCTCGTATCTCAGTCTCCCGAGTAGCTGGGACCACTGGTGCACACCACCATTCCTGACTAATTTTTGTAGCTTTTGTAGAGACAGGGTTTTGCCATATTGGCCAGGCTGGTCTTGAACTCCTGAGCTCAAGCAATCTGCACACCTCAGCCTTCCAAAGTACTGGGATTATGGGGATGAGCCACTGTGCCCAGCTGAGTTTTAAATATCAGTGAAAATATTTTTTATTTCTAGGATTCTGATTAATTCTTTTCCATCTTTGTGATTCTTTCTCATATTCATCTGCTTTATTTAGATTTTGAAAAGTGGGTATCATTTTCACCACTAGTTCTTTCAGGTCTTAAATAAACTTGTTTTTAGGTCTTTCTCATATTGCTTTCTTATTTTCGTCTTCATGAGAGTGAATTCCCATCTGTTGAGCTTCCCTTGGCCTATATTTCATAGTGTCTGCTTTCCCCATGTCTTTGACATTTTGCATGAGTAGTTTGGTGTTTTCTCTCCTAGTACTCTCTCCTTTCTTCTGGCAGTATTCATTGCTTCCTCCAAAACTCCAAGAGAGGTAGAATCAGCTCTACTATAAAGGTTTGTGGCCCTTGTTCACAGGATGTCACAGATGGGCTCCCATAGCCTTGGGCAGCTCCACCTCTGTGACTTTGAAGGGGATAGCCCCCCTTCTGGCTGCTTTCACAGGCTGGTGTTGGGCATCTGTGGCTTTTCCAGGTGCTGGTGTTGAGTGTCTGCTTTCACAGGCTGGTGTTGAGGGTTTGCGGCTTTTCCAGGTGCACAGTGCAAGTTGTCAGTGGATCTACCATTCTGGGGTCTGGAGGATGGTGGCCCTCTTCTTACCGCTCCAGTAGGAAATGTCCCACTGAGGACTCTGTGTGGGGGCTCCAACACCACATTTCCCTTCTATACTGCCCTACTTGGGGTTCTCCATGAGTCACCCCACCTCCACAGCAAATTTCTGCCTGGACATTGAGTCGTTTCCATACATCCTCTGAAATCTAGGCAGATGTTCCCAAACCTCAATTCTTGACTTCTTTGCACCCTCAGGCTCAACACCACATAGAAGCTTCCAAGTCTTGGGGCTTGCACCCTCTGAAGCCATGGCCCAAGCTGTACTTTGGTCCCTTTTAGCCACAGCTGGAGCTGGGACACAAGGGCACCAAGTCCTTAGGCTGCAAACAGCAGTCCTTTCCCCGGACCTGGCCTGTGAAACCATTTTTTCCAACTAGGCCTCCAGGCCTGTGATGGGATGGGCTTCCATGAAGGTCTCTGGCATGCCCTGGAGACATTTTCCCTATTGTTTTGGTGATTAACACTCAGCTCCTTGTTACTTATGCCAATTTATGCAGAGGCTTGAATTTCTCCCCAGCAAATGGGTTTTTCTTTTCTATCACATGGTCAGCTGCAAATTTTCCAAACTTTTATTCTCTGCTTCCTCTTGAACACTTTTCTGCTTAAAAATTTCTTCTACCAGATACCCTAAATCATCTCTCTGAAGTTCAAAGCTCCACAGATCTCTAGGACAGGAGCAAAATGCCTCCAGTCTTTGCTAAAGCATAACAAGTGTCACCTTTGCTTCAGTTCCCAACAAGTTCCTCATCCCCATCTGAGACCACCTCAGCCTGGACATTTTTGTTCATATCACTATCAGCATTTTGGTGAAAACCATTCAACAAGTCTCCAGGAAGTCCCAAACTTTCCTACATCTTCCTGTCTTCTGAGTCCTCTGAGCCTCTAGGAAGTTCTGAACTTTCCTACATTTTCCTGTCTTCTTCTGAGTCCTCCAAACTGTTCCAACTCCTGCTTGTTACCCAGTTCCAAAGTCACTTCCATATTTTTGGGTATCTTAAAAGAAATACCCCACTCTACCAGTACCAATTTACTGTATTAATCCATTTTCATACAGCTATGAAGACACACCCAAGCTGGGTAATTTATAAAAGAAAAAGAGGTTTAATGGATTGACAGTTCCACATGGCTGAGGAGCCTTCACAATCATGGCAGAAGGGGAAGGAGGAGCAAAGGCACGTCTTATATGGTAGCAGGCAAGAGAGTGTGTGCAGCGGAACTGCCTTTTATAAAATTATCAGATCTTATGAGACTTATTCACTATCACAAGAACAGCATGGGAAAACCTGCCCCCATGATTGAATTACCTCCCACGTTGTCCCTCCCTTGAATGTGGGGATTATGAGAGCTACAATTCATATGATGAGAAGATGAGATTTGGGTGGGGACACAGCGAAACCATATCAGTCCCATTCCCTTGCAGGAGTTGAAATACCAGAATTCATCCAAAAGATTTTAGATAAAGACAAACAGTTGGGGGGAGGAAAAAAAAAAAAAGAAGAAGACATAGTAACAGTGATGTGCTGAGTATATCGGAGTTGGGGCAAAATAAAACATCCTCACTCCTGATCTCTTTGTATTTACATGGTTGATATTTATTCATCTTGGAATTGCTGCTTCAATTTTTACATTTTAAATATTCTGTAGAAATTCATTCATTCTGATAACTGGGATTTTGGTGCCTTTTCTAATTTCGTGCTGGAGGCTCCTTGCCTCCTTAGTCTCATCTCGTCCAGGTTCTTCCTTCCTGTTCACAAGTGACCAATCTCTTTGTTTTCTTTTCTAGGCTTGGATTTTTCTCAATGGCTGTCAAGGCCACCATGTGGAGCAGTGCTTCCTGGACTTGGTTTCTTCTTGGCATCTAGACCCTGCCCAGTGCTACAGGATCATCTACTTCATCTCCTGGAGCTCCTGCTTCAACTGTGCCCAGGAAATTGCTGGATTTCTGAGGGAGAATAGACACATGAGCTTGCACATCTTCACTGCCTGCATCTATGATTACCACCCAGGATATGAGGAGAGACTGCACATGCTGCAGGGAATTGGGGCCCAAATTTCCATCATGACCTCTACAGGTAAGAATGGAAACTTTGGGTGGGCTGGAGTGGGTGGGGGCAGGGAGAAGAAAGTTACTAGAAAGGTAGGGAAGGTCGGTATCCCTGGGCAAAAAGCCCTGGTTGGCTGCATGCAGAGGTTTATGAAATTGCTGTTCATAAATGGCATCCGCCCAAAAACAATTCTTTGAGTTAGGGTGGACAACCTATACTGAGGCTCAGAGCCCTATAGATATGCGTTTTCATATCCCAGACACCACTATGTAGTTCCATTCTGTTTCTGGTTTCATATAGATTTCTAAATTGTTTTTGAGCTCACGTTTGTCTTTTTATGTTTTAAAAATATTTAATGCCCTATTGTGTTTTGTGTTTGAAGTAAAGGGAGAAAAATAGATCAGCAAGTTTCTGCATAAAATTTGTTGTGGCAAATTGTTGCTCTTGGTACCTACTTCTACATGTGCATATATATATATATACAGGCATACCTCATAGATATTAGGAGTTTGCTTCCAGATCATTGCAATAAAGTGAGTATCTCAGTATAGTGAGTCATGAAAATATTTTGGTTTCCCAGTACACGTAAAAGTTATGTTTATATTATACTGTAGTTTACTAAGTGTGCAAAAGCATTGTGTCTGAAAATCAATATACATACCTTAATTTAAAAATATTTTACTGCTGAGTGGAGAGGTGGAGCAAGATGACCAAGTGAACCCTCCAGTGATTGTCCCCTCCTGCAAGAACACCAAAGTGAACAACTATGCCCACAAGAAATCACCTTCATAAGAACCAAAAATCAGAGGAGCAATCACAGTACCTGGTTTTAACATCGTGTCAAGGAAAGAGGCACTAAAGAGAGTAGGAAATACAGTCTTGAATTACCTACACCACCCCTCCCCTTTCCCTCAGCAGTGGCTGTGTGGCATGGAGAGAGAGTTTATGTGCTTGCAGGAGGGAGAGTGCAGTGATTGTGGGACTTTGTGTTGAAACTCAATGCTGCTCTGTCATGGCAGAAAGCAACATAGGTAGAATTCAGCTGCTAAGTGCCCATGGAGGGACCATTTAGACCAGCCTTAGCCAGAGGGAAATTTTCCATGCCAAAGGTCGGAAACTCAGTTCTGTTTAGCCCCACTCACCATGGGCTAAAGCACTCTGTAGTCCCAAATAAATTGGAAAGGCAGTCTAGACCACAAGGACTGCAATTCCTGAGCATTTTCCTGTTACTTATTATAGTGTTGGACTCAGAGCCACTCACAGGACTTGCCATGTGTATGACCTAGTGAGACACCAGCTGGGGTGGCCAAAGGAATGCTAGTGTCACACTTTCCTGACTCCAGAACGCACAGCTTGCAACTCTAGGAGAGACTCCTTTTGCTTGAGGAAAGGAAAGGGAAGAGTAAAGAGGATTTTGTCTGGCAACTGGGATACCAGCCCAGCCACAGTAACATAAAACAACAAGCAGATCCCTGAAGTCTCCATTCCAGGACTTAGCTCCAGGATGACATTTCTAGACCCACCTTGGGCCAGAAAATAACCTGTTACCCTGAAGGAAAACACAAAGTCCTGGCAGAATTCACCACCTGCTGACTAAAGAGCCGTTGGTCGTTGAATAAACATTAGTAGCAGCCAGGCAGTACTCATCACGGACCTAGAACAGTGATGGCCATGGAGAAAGACTCTTTTTGAAGAAAGTAGAGGGAGGAGTAAAAAGGACTTTGTCTTGCAACTTGGGTTGCAGCTCAGCTGTAGTAAAATAAGACACCAATCAGATTCCTAAAGTCCCCAGTTCTAGGCCCTAGTTCCTGGACAGTATTTCTAGACCCGCTCTGGGCCAGAATGGAACCTGCTATACAGATGCGAAGGACTCAGTCCTGGCAGGATTCACCATCTGCTGACTAAAGAGCCCTTGGGCCTGAAATAGACATCGTGGTAGCTAGGCAGTTATTGCCAGTGGCCTGGTGATGGCCATGTGAAAAGATTCCTTCTGCTTGAGGAAGGAAGAGGAAAGAATAAAAAGGATTTTGTCTTGCAACTTGGGTACCAGCTCAGCCACAGGAAAATGAAGCTCCAAGTAGATTCCTCAAGTTCTTAAATCCAGGCCCTAGTTCCTGGACAACATTTCTAGACCCACCCTAGGCAAGAGGGGAGCTTACTGTACTGAAGAGATGGACCCAGTCCTGGCAGGATTCACCACATGCTGACTAAAGAGTCCTCGGGTCTTGACCAAACATCAGTGGTGGCCAGGCAGTAGTCGTGAAGGATCTGGGACAGTGGTGGCCATGGGGAGAGACTGTTTCTGCCTGAGGAAAGGAAAATAAAGAGTAAAAAGGACTTTGTCTTGCAACCTGGGTACTACCTCAGCTACAGTAAAATGAAGCACCACATAGATTTCTAATGTTCCTGATTCTAGGCCCTAATTCCTGGATATATCTAGACCCACCCTTGGACAAGAAGGGAGCCTGCTGTACTGAAGGGAAGGAACCAGTCCTGGCTGGATTCACCACCTGCTGGTTAAACAGCCCTTGGGCCTTGAACAAACATCAGTTGTAGCCAGGCAGTAGTTGCCCGGGGCCTGGGATGGTGATGGCCACAGGAGATAATCCTTCTCTTTCAGGAAAGGAGAGGAAAGAATTAAAATAACTGCTTTGCAACTGAGGTACTGACTTTGCTACAGTAAAATAAAGTACCAAGTATATTCCTAAAGCTTCCAGATCCAAGCTCTAGCTCCCAGAAAGCAATTCTAGACCCACCCTGGGCCAAAAGGGGACCTGCTACACTGAAGGAAGGAACTAGCCTCAGCAGGATACACCATCTGCTGAGTAAAGAGCCCGTAGGCTTTGAATAAAGATCAGTGGTAGTCAGGCAGAAGTCACCACAGGGGCAATACCCAATACTGTGCTAGCTTCAGGTGTTTACCAGCACATTCCCAGCTGTGGTAATCATTGGGAGAGAAGATTCTGCTTGAGCAAAGAAGATGGAAGAATAAAAAGCACTTTGTCTTACGACTTGTATTCCTGCTCAGCCAAAGTAAAAGAAAGCATCAAGTAGATTCCTAAAGTTCCCAGATTCAGGCCTTAGCTCCTGGATAGCATTTCTAGACTCATCCTGGGCCAGTAGGAAACCTGCTTTGTTGAAGGGAGAGATCCAGGCCTGGCAAGTCCCATCACCTGCTGAGTAAAGAGCACTTGGGCCTGGAGAAACATCAGTGGTAGCTAGGTAGTAGTCACCACAGGAATTGACCAAGACCCAGTACCATGCTGGCTTCAGGTGTGAACCAGCCCAGTCCCAGCAGTGGTAGTCATGGAAGTGCTTGCATAACCCCTTTCCCATCTCCAGGCAGCTCCAGAGACAGTGACTCATGTGGTTTGAGGGAAAGTAAGGGAAGATAACTAGAGACTGCATGGTAATCAAGAGATTTCTTCAGGATCTTACCCAAGACCCCCAAGGTGACAAGTGTGGAAGAGCCACAGTGTTTCTGGGCTTAGTGTGCCCCCTAATACAGCTGCAGTGACCAAAGACTTGGACTACAACACTCAAGTCCCTTTGAATACTTGGAAAGCCTTCTCAAGAAGGATGAGTACAAACAAGCACAGATTGTGAGGATCAGAATAAGTACCAAACTCTTCAATGCCCAGACATTGATGAACATTCACAAGCATTAAGATCATCCAGCAAAACATGACCTCGTCAAAACAAATTAAATAAAGCATCAATGACCAATCCAAGAATTACAGAGATATGTAATTTCAGACAGAGAATTCAGAATAGCTGTTTTGAGGAAGCTCATTGAAATTCAAGATAACACAGAGATGGAATTCAGAATCCCATCAGATAAAACTAACGAAAAGATTGAAATAATTTTTAAAAACCAAGCAGAAATTCTGGAGCTGGAAAATTATCTGACCACACTGGGATAAATCTAGAAATCAATAACAAGAGAAATTTTGGAAACTATACAAACTCATGAAATTACACAATATTCTCCTGAATGACCAGTGAATCAATGAAAAAAATTAGGAAGGAAATTAAAAAATTTCTTGAAACAAGTGAAAATGGAAAAACAACATACAAAAACCTATGAGATACAATAAAAGCCATACTAAGAGGGAAATTTATAGCGATAAGTGCCTACATCAAGAGTAGAAAAACTTCAAATAAACAATCTAACAATGCATTTTAAAGAACTAGAAAAGCAAGAGCAAACCAAACCCCAAATTAGTAGAAGAAAAGAAATAATAAGTAACAGAGTATAAATAAGTAACATTTAAATAAAAAATGCAAAAGATCAACAAAATAAAAAGTTGATTTTTTGACAAAACAATTAACAAACCTTTAGCCAAACTATGTATGAAAAAAAGACACAAATAAATAAAATCAGAGATGACACATTACAATTGATACTGCAGAAATTCAAAGGATTATTAAAGACTACTATAAGTGACTCATATGCCAATAAATTGGAAAACTGAGAAGAAATGGATAAATTCCTAGACATGTAAAAGCTACAAGATTGAATCATGAAGAAATTAAAAACCTGAATAGACCAATAACAAGTAACAAGATCAAAGCTGTAATTGTCTCCCAGCAAAGAAAAGCCTGAGATCCAATGACTTCACTGCTGAAATCAACCAAACACTTAAAGAACTGGCACAAATCCTGTCCACCTATTCTGAAAAATAGAGGAGGTGGGAATACGTTCAAACTCGTTCTATGTGGTCAGTATTGCCCTGATACCAAACGCAGACAAAAACACATCAAAAAAGAAAACAATGAGCCTATATTTCTGATGAACATTGATGCAAAAATCCTTAAAAATACTTGCAAACCAAATTCATCAGTACATTAGAAAGAGTATTTATCATGACCAAGCAGAGTTTATGTCAGGGGTACAAGGTTGGCTCAACATACACAAATCAATCAATGTGATACATCATATCAACAGAATGAAGGACAAAAACCTTATGATCATTTCAATTGATGTTGAAAAAGCATTTGATAAAATTCAAAATCCCTTTCATGATTAAAAAACCCTCAAAAACTGGGGATAGAAAGAGCATACCTGAACACAATAAAAGCCAAATATGACAGACCTGCAGTTAGCATTATAGTGAACAGCAAAAAACTAAAGTCTTTCCTCTAAGATCTAGAACATGGTAAGGATGCCAACTTTTACCACTGCTATTCAACATCGTACTGGAATTCCTAGCTAGAGGAATCATTCAAGAGAAATAAATAAAGGGCATCCAAATTAGAAAGAAAAAGTCAAATTACTCTTGTTTTCAGATGGTATGCTCTTATATTTGGAGAATCCTAAAGATACCACCAAAAAACTATTAGAACTAACAAACAAATTCAGTAAAGTCGCAGGACACAAAATCAACGTATAAAAATCTGTAGCATTTCTACATGTCAACAGTGAACAATCTGAAAAAGAAATCAAGAAAGTACTTTTATATATTATTGTTACAAATAAAATAAAATGCTTAGGAATAAACTTATCCAAAGAAGTGAAAGATCTCTACATAGAAAACTATAAAACATTGATGCAAGAAATTTAAGAGAACCAATGAAGAAAGGAAAAGAGGAGCTGTATTAGTCTGTTCTCGCACTGCTATAAAGACATACCTGAGCCTGGGTAATTTATAAAGAAAAGAGATTTAATTAGCTCATGGTTCTGCCAGCTGTGCAGGCTTCTGCTTCTGGGGAGGCCTCAGGAAACTTACAATCATGGCAGAAGATGAAGGGGAAGCTGGCACATCCACCATGACTGGAGCAGGAGAAAGAGAGAGAGGCGGGCAGCTGCTACACACTTTTAAACAAGCAGATCTCAGGAGAACTCTATCACCAGACAGCACTAGGGGGATGGTTCTAAACCATTAGAAACTGCCGGCATGATCCAATCACCTCTAACCAGGCCCCTCTTCCAACACTGGGGATTAAAATTTGACATGAGATGTGGGCAGGGACAGAAATCAAAACTGTATCAGAAGGCTAAATGGCAAATGCTTACTCTTATTTATGCTTTGTGCAAATAACCAGGCCACGTATATTAAGACTGAAGCTTATTTCACAAACAAATCAGTCCTATCATGATTTGTTTTTAATAAAAATGAGGATTGGAGAGAGAAAAAATACATTTCAAGAACTATAGTACACCTGTATTTAGATTCCAGTCTCATCAGTTATTTTGAGTTTCTGTCTGCAATTTAGACTAACCCTTCTTATTCCTGTGAAATAATCAGTGATCTCTGGCTGCATCTCAGAAGAAAAGATGGATGGGTAGTGTAAAACTCTGGAACAATATTCTAATTCTGGGCATGTATTAAAATCAGCTAGCAACTCCATACACCCAAGTCTTAGCAGGCATGACTATACCCACCAGCCACCTAGGTGTGTTGGTAGCCCTAGGATTTTTTTTGGAGCGGTCATCTTCCTCTTTTTTTTTTTTTTTTAAACTGTTCTTCTAAATCTGATAACTTGATTTGTCCCCTTTCACGTTCAGGCCATCAAGCTCCAGATGATCCTCAGTGAAGGATACTGACCTCTCAAATAGTCAAAAGTCACCCTTCTGCAGCGGGCCTCTAGACTGCCCGTCAATAGAACATAACAGAGGCAAAATCCTGCCCCTTTCTCCCTTAAGCCTGGCTGGATACTGGTTTCTACAACCCACAGAGCCAACCCTGCCCTGACAGCTAGTAAGAGGCCAAGACCCACAGAACCACCACCACTGCCCTTCTGTCAGTAGGAAGCAGTTACAGAAGACTGACCTTCATCCATTTTCCCCAAAGAATTGGGGTCTTGGACTCCAGAGGGGGAAATGTTACAGTAGGCAACTAGTTAAACATGAGCAGGGTAGGAGAGGGCTCCCAACCCCCACCAGGAATGTCAGGCGACATCAGGTGATCTCTCAAGTCACCCACTCTGCCCTCTTCCAAGTGTACTTTACTTCCTTTCATTCCTGCTCTAAAGTTTTTAAGTAAACTTTCACTCCTGCTCTAAAACTTACCTCGGTATCTCCTTCTGCCTTATGCCCCCTCGGTCCAATTAGTTCTTCGGAGAAGGGAAGAATTGAGGTGGCTGCAGACCGTATGGATTCACTGCTGGTAACATGCTGACTGGAGTCGCACGTTTAATTTTCCTCAAGAACTTTTCTTTTGTATTTACAATTGGGCTAATTATCTGGTGCAAGAGACTTAGTTTTCAGCCTCTGCCAGCTTTTGACATGCCTTCCTCACTAAGCAGAATCATTTCTAGCTTTTGATTTCAAGTGAGAGACGTGACTCTTCGTTTCACTTGAACATTTAGAGGCTATTGTAGGATTCATAATTGGCCCAGTTTCTCTCAGGGAATAGGGAGACCTGAGGAGAGGAAGAGAGATGTGGGGAATGGCTGGTAGGTGGAGTAGTCAGAACACACATACCGTCTATGTATTAAATTTGGTGTCTCATATGGGTGTAAATCTTCGTGTCCCCAAACAATTACAGTAGTAAAATCAAATATCACTTGTCACAGATCACCATAAAAGAAATAACAGTAATGTAAATGTTTGAAATACTGTAGGACTACCCAAAATGTGACACAGAGACACAAAGTGAGAACACGCTCTTGGAAAAATGGCTCCGATAAACTTGCTTGATACAGGGTTGCCACAAACCTTTAATTTGTGCAAATCATAGTATCTGTGAAATTTAATAAGCTAAACACAATAAAATAAGATGAACCATTATTGTGCATGGATAGATAATTATTTGGGGGTAATTCTTCACATATGTAATGAATATTTTTATAGAAAATGTACACATGAGCCAATCATTTCTAAGGAAGATAAAGACTTTTAGGTAAAGCTGATATGGAAAACAAACTAACCTGAACCTACCAGATAGAGGAACTGCTGCTAATAAATTAAATACAATAATTATTATAAATTCAAGAGCCTTGAAACACTTAATTGGTTGGCTAAAATGTTACAGATTTTAAAATAAATCTTGGGCAATATGTCAACAAACAGGTAGACTATATGACAATTCATTTGTCAAATCTAGTATCAGATAAAGGAAAGGAAAATTGAAATTGAGAATATTTTATGTTAGAACACATTAAGAAAGGATCTAATAAAGCAAGGATTAGATTGGAGTTATGATTTTGAAAATCTCTTTGTCTTTGAAATAGCCCAAGCAGGCTCTCTGATGTCATATTTTTGGACTAATAATTATTATGTAGTTAGAAAGCTCAGAGTCTGATGGTTAGCACACTGCATATCTCTACCCAAAGAATGGGGGCTTGTCCATAGGGTTGGCGCTCCTGAAGCATGGGGCAGGAAAGCAAAGACCTTTTTCAAGGATATCTGGGAGAAGTGTTGGAATGACAAGGCCTTCAGCCTAGAAAAGGGCTTCCTCTGTAGGTGTGGCCATCAGTGACAAGGAAAATACAAAATCAATGATATAACCAACGAGAACACGCCAAGAAGAGGCTTGTATCCATAATAATAAAATTTAAATAATCTATGCAAAAGATTTTAATTTTTATTTATTTTTGAGACAGGGTCTCGCTCTGTCACTCAGGCTGAAGTGCAGTGGTGTGATCACTGCTCACTGTAGCCTTGATTTCCCAGGCACCAGGGATCCTCCCACTCAGTGCCCCTGACCCCCCAAGTAGCTGGGACCACAGGTGTATGCCACCTCCCTGGCGAATTTTTGTATTTTTGGTAGAGACAGAGTTTTGTTATGTTTCACAGGCTGGTCTCCAATTCCTGAGCTCAAGCAATCCACCTGCCTCAGCCTCTCAAAGTGCGAGAATTATAGGCATGAGTCACCACATTCAGCCAATTTTTATAAGGCATGAAGTTTAATTATTATTATTAGTAGTAGTTGAAGAGAATGCTGTGTGTTGATTAGGAGTGTTTTTGCTAAAATCTGAATTAACAATTTAAGGTACCTTTGTTTTACAAGATATTAGACTTAGTCATATGGGTTCACAGCATTCCACTGAAGTTTCAGATTCTGCTCTGAGAAACAGCCTGCTTAGCAAACATGGGGAAAACATTGCTAAAACCTGGAATAAGATATTAAAATAACAGAATATTTTAATAACATCTGGGAGAAGGGAAACAGACATGAATATTGTGAATTTTATTGTTGTAAAATTTAAAAAATGCAGGATGATCTATTTGTATTTTGTTCAAGTCTCCTCAGTGAGTATGTGTACTCATAGAGGTAATAGTAGAAATTGAAACTGACGATGCAACCATGGCATTCATCCATGGGAACATCTTGCATCCAGACAATGGGATTTATTGAACAATAGGGAAACATTCCCACTTGACAGGTTTTAGGATTTTGTTGTGGCTGTTGTTGTTGGATGTGTGGGTGTTGGCAGGAATATCTTTGTTAACACATTACATTGATTTCCAGAGTTGACTTGGTGGACTTGGCTGGCAGGGTATTTGGGTGTTTCTTTCCTTTCTATTGCTCCATACTGGTTGCTATGGCAGCTGTACTCCTGTGAAGAAAGAATGCCTTCCTAGTGTCTGTCTGTTCTTGTTTCAATCAGAAAAGCACGTGGAGCCTTTCCAAGGTAGGCTGGATCTTACCTATGATGTATCGGTAACGCATGGACATGCTGTGGTCAGCACTGTCCACCTTGCAGTGGGCCTCTGGGACATGTCCTGAGATGGATGAGGCTTTCAGTTTGCACTTTATGAGATTTTGTGGTCTGCTTTTTGGAAACCCATGCAGTATTACAGCCATTGCTTACAGAAACTGTCCACTTTAAATAGTGTGGGTTTGAAAATTGAGACCAGAGTTGCTTAAAAGACTCCAGAGTATAACTGAGATAATTTGTTGCACATGGATGGGTAAAATAGGAAAGAGTAGGAGGAAGGGAGGGAGATGATTGCATAAGGAGACAGAAAAGAAGTCTGTGTAGGGCAGTGACTCAGAAAAATGACTTACCAGAGCAAAGGACATGTATAATAATTGATCTCCAATTCATCTACTTCTGTGAGGTTTATCACAGATGTCTGTTCTGGTTTTAACTCACCACTTCCTACCATTACCCTGTGAAAGAAAAATAAAAATCTTGAGACTCTAGATTACTATGCCAAAAGGGAAAAATTAAGCTTGAAAACTGAGTCATGCCAAAACAACAACAACAACAACAACAACAACAACAAAAACTGCCGTTCCTTTTGTTCCTAAACAAATAGCTAAAGGATAGAAGGCCACATGTCTCTGCAGGTGACCTCTCTCACGCTGACAATGTAAATCAACAGCTTATCTTCACAAGTGTGGGACAAGAGAAAACTAGAAATCATCCCCTCATGGACCCTGAGACAAATCCCTGTTAGACTTTTCCCTGTGCTCTCTCTGTTTATCTTTTGTAAAGTGCAGATTTACTAAGTGTGAGACACTAAGCATGAGACAAATACATAACCGATTGTTCCCTCAACCACCTCCTTTTCATGTACAACATATGGATTCATTGAGCTCTAATCAAAGCCTCACAAGGATGTGACCATACTTTCCCCCCTCTTTTTTTCTTTTCCCTCCTGCCTGCTTTTTCCCGTTTAAGTGTTGAAACTCTCAAAATCCTCTTTGGAAAAAGTATGGACCACAGAGCCTACTGTGGTTTGTGTCTCCTTTTCCTGGGTGCATCCTCAATCTTGGCAAAATAAACCTCTAAATTAATCGAGAGTGATCTCAGCCATTCTCTTTGGTTTTATAATGCTGTGCAAGTTTATTACAGACAGTATCTACAACATTGCT